TTGACCTGGTACACACAATTCTGTTGGTCATCTTCCTCTATTTCATCCTTAACCTTCACCAGTGATGAGCGTAAAATGTTCGTTGCACGAAAATACACTCTTCTATCATGATCGTTAACGATTCGCTTTATTTCATCCGATGGTACTTTATGGTAAGGAATCACCACTGTACTAACACAATTCTTAGCAGCAGGTTTCGATCCATCCTTATCTTCACACTCTAAATATCCTTTTCTGAAGGCTTTGGGATAATTATTTGACTCAAGAGTGGAGTGAACCAATTTTAATTCCCTGATGATCTCTTCCCCCTCAGTAACTAGACGTTTGGCTCTATTAATCAGATTCTTGGCCATAGTTACTTTGGAACCATTCAGTCAAATCTTGATCATAGTTCATATGAAGTATTCACTTTAATTTATACACGTCACTGATCCAATGTCAGAGTCAGAGATTTCCCATAAGAAAAGTTGACACTCACTCTCGGTAGGTAGGAGGCAAAGTAATGAAGGCTCACAACTCATATCTAGCAGGAGTTACACGCGTATTTGTTTGATGACTACGAGTAGTCATAGAAATTGTTTGCAATAAGTTTCCTACAATGAAGTCCAAATCATGGTGCACTACTTACGACTTACCCAAAATTCAATATGGATAGTTTCTCTGTAAGCCGAAAATTCTTTTTTTTAAAAAAAAAACCAAGTGCACTTACAATCAGCGGGATAAAAGGTTCATGTTCAGATTCCAGTGGGGTTATGCGTGTGCACAGTCGAAAAGTCTAAAACTAGGACAGAACAGATGTCCAATACTCCCTGATTTCCAATAGTTCCCTAAGTGACATCAATGCGCGATCAAAACTCGAAGCAAATCAACTCCCTACAAACCAACTCTTAAAAATTAATCTGATTCTCACTAGCGAGTGGTTATAGGACGACGTTACCTGGAGTTCCAGTGAGAAGTTGTGACCAGTGGGATTCACCAGGTCAGGTGTGAGGAAAAATACTCGCCGATTCCATACCATGTGGCTGAATAGTCAACGGACTTGGCCTCGTAACCTAAAAGTGCTGGGTTCGATACCCGGTAGGGTAGTGCTGATGAACAGCCCCAGACTGTGTATGACAACCTGGTTTTCAATGACTCTTCACGTGACATCAATCCGTGATCGAATTAGACAAAAAGTAGTTGAAAACTGCATGAATTCATACTTGTAAGTAATCCTTCCCTGACAATGTATATACACAGCAAAATATTCTGCATGACTGAACAAAGAGATTTTGTTACAGTGATTCTGAACTATCTTCATATCACTGAAGTGCATGATTTTTCTAAGCAATCTCAGTATACATTTTCTATTTATTACATCTTCGCTTACGATTTTGACGTATAAAAATAAATGATTATTGTATGCATTTATTTTTGCTAATTGATTTCATTTTGATGAGATATTAGACCAATTAATTTACCATAGTTATTCGGATATAATTGTTTAGATTGTCGTAAAATTAAATAATTGACTTGCGCATAAGTGTGTAGCGTTTTCCAAATAGTCATTACCATGTGTAGAAATATTATTGTGAATACTAACACGATTACTAATGCTTATACTGCTATTGCGATTAAGACTGAATATATCACTACTCCTAATAATAGCATGATTTGTTGTAGGTCAAATAAGACACTTCCGGTGGGCATTTTCTGTTGATCTTCATGAAATTCTGGAAGTTCTGATGATTGACTGAACAGTATGACATTAAGTTGTCAAATAGTGAATCAGTGTAGCTTTCCGACCCCATGTATTCATAATACCCTGTATTAAAGCAAAGAAATTATTTAGGGGTACACCTTGGATCAAGATCTCATGCTTCTAAGAAGACATATTGACATACATGACAAAACTTTTGTTTCTGGTGAGACTTTAACTAACTTCACTCAATTCTGATGTTAGAAACTTTACTATCTAACTATTTAAACTACAACTGACTACCTGAATTAACAATCGTGTTACTGTTATTGAACATTGAAACCAACTCACATGATCATTCAAAAGTTATAGATTATCTGAAGTATTCACCAGTTGTCAAAACATAATACAAGTGAATAATTTGTCATTTATATCCATAATTCATTAACATTGGAAATTGACAATTACTTCATCAATGATTGTACAAGCATATTTTTAACTACTTCATTTCTCACGCATGCAAATTTATATATATTTATAAGTTTTTCTAAAATTTAATAATGCTAACCTAATAGTAGGTTGTATTATGAAAATATATAGAGATGTAAGTATTCAACTTCCAATTAGCGAGACAAGGATTGGAACTAATGACGTCAGTTTGGTAGGACAAACAATGCACTTTTCTACAAACAACTTTTAATCAATATCCCTATGTTTGTAAATAATTAGATGAGCAGTAGGCCTAAATGGTGAAATCAACACCTTTTCTTATAACCTTGACAGTTATACAATCGATGTATTAAGCTGATGACTGCCCCTCCTAACAAAGAAGAACTAGTTATGGAGGTTTAGACACTTTTGGCTCTCTCAGCTGGACCGAAACGGGTAAACCACTGATGAGACTAGGTGTTAAGGGTTTAGATCACTTCGGTCTTGCTAGAGAGTATTACTGGTTAAAGGGAGTGGTTTTTAACTACTCAAAACAATCAGTAGTATGTATACCACAATCAACGATCAAAAATAATAATGTCTAGACTGGCTGAGTCAGTAAAGCATGCAGTAAGTTCACACTGGTGAATATGTTGAATGTAGCGTGTAGTAGTCGTATTTCATCATCTACAGCGACATGTTTGAATCAATCGGCTGTGTAAGTCTTCATCCAACACAATGCATACAATTTTCTCTGTTGCTCCTTGTTTTAATCATTCAGTTATTTCTCTGGGTCACCAAACATACTCATGAAGATTTTTAATTGACTTTTAATCTACTCCCAAGTATATGTCGGCAACAAGAACCGGTGTTTTCAAAGTGATATGGTCACTGAAATGGTGATATGGCTCAAAATCCTTCTCAGTGGTGTAAATGCATTCCCTCTTTGTGATTAGTCATGTTCACACTCTTCTTTTTCCCTTAAATTTCTGTTTGTTATTATTATGTCTCTTTTAAAGTTCTCTTCTCTTGATATGTATGCTACATGGAGGGTAAGTGGCAACTTGAACTGTTGCATTTCTGTGTAAAGTTCTATGTTGAAACCAGTCAGTTTCGGCAACGAAAGAATAGTACCATAAGGGGTTATTTTATGCTTTACATCTAACAGTAATGTATCAAATTATGTAATTTAGATTGTTATTTTACTTGAAGATCCTGGATGGAATAAACTACGCTGAAAATTTTGTATATTGTGTAAACACTCTGTGCAGAATAAAGTTATTATTATTATTATTACTAATGGACCTAACATCGAGTAGGACCCTACATACTACGGTACATAACAACATTCTTTTATTATCGCGGTGAAGTTAAACTTTAGGCACTATTGACTACCAATCAGTGATTGACTTTGAATGGCCCAATGAGTTTCATCCGCATGATTTGAAGGTCCTATTCCGCTTGATTCGAGTCAAATGTCAGGGAAGGTAAGCTGATGATTCTAATATTTCGTAGGAACATTTTTTCCAGGTCTAAACAGAGAAAATAGTCTCCTATCAACAGTTCAGGGGTGCCAGCAGTGTACAGGTATCGTGTCGTGGAAAGTGGAGAGAATTACTTCGTTCTTAAGAGGAGAAGGTATTATCGTACACGTGTATGAGTGGAAAGGTTAAAAGCTACATGTCATACCTTGGGTATACTCATCACAGAGTGAACCATTCTAATGATTTTGTGGATCCCATTACAGGGACACACATCAGTTCTATAGAAGGCTTTTGGGACAGGTTGAAAACAGGATTAGGGCCATAAATCGATCTAAGAAGTACGTCATCTATAGTCATTTAGATGACTATATGTACAGAATGTGGTGTAATATTCCAATTTATACTCCTATGCTCAACTGGGAGATGTTTTTACCACATGCCATAGAAAGGTATCCTATGAAACATTTTGATGTATTTTATTGCAAAAATTGGTTTTCCTTAATCAAAAACGCCTCATTTATGTGACTTGTGCGTTCAAGATCATTCACCGATTAGCAGTTAGTGGTGCCTAAAGTTTAACTTTGCCATTATCGTCTTCAACTGAAACAAGTGATCGAAAATTTTCGTTGACGGTCAATGCTCAACAACCAGTTAGTAGGCTTATGTCAATTTATGTTAGGTTTCACTGCCTACATGAATGATTCCTATGCAGAGTCCGTGCACTGTAGAATAGATACATTTACAGTAAATATATATTGATTTGATGATATTAGATAGTTGGAGGCAATTGGCCACAGGAAACCTTGGACCTAGGTTTCGTGCTAGTTAGCACTCGTCATCAAGGCTTATTTGTAACCTTGAAGGAACTCATGTCCCTCCTGAGATTCGAACCCGCGTCACCCAGTGCCACTGATTGCCTCCAACTATCTAATATCATCAAATCAATGTGCAAAGTGTTGGCGAGCTACCTAGAATGCTGGCCACATTGTAAACCTAACTGATAGAATTCAGTCTGCATCAAAGAAAGGACTAGACACGTCACACCAGCTACCAGCTACACAATGATAAGTATTAGCTTCAATAACATTTCAAGCAATATTACTTACTACCTGTGATTCCATTAATTCTTGTAATTTCCCCACTCTGACAATACCTACATATAACTTAGCAGATTTATACTTAAACAGATGAACCGTGTATACCAGAACATACGTATTCTGAAACAACTTTTGCCCAAAAGTAAATACCCGTTGTAAATATGGTGCAGCAAATTCATGCTTGAAAAGTCAATCAATCATCCAACCATACTTATAACTATATATATATACATAATACGATAAATGTCGACCTGCTCACACTTTTCGTCTAGCATACCCCAAATCCAGGGAAGAAGAAATAACAACTCGAGAAACATACGACAAATATATATTTATGTATTTCAGTACTTCTTTAACAAAAAGAGAATTCATACAAACCAGAAAAAGGATGATTAATAGCAGCAAGGAGAAATAAAACAATGAAGACAAGAATCAAGATGGATTGTAGGTTTTACAAGGAGAGAAAAAAAAGTGGCATATACACTAGGAAGATAAAACTGTCTGTATACAAAAACGTGTATAGTTCCCAAGGGGAATACATACACTTCATCATTTAAGAGGGCAAAAAAACACGTTTATGTGAATAGGACAGGATAGAAGACAAGTTTATAATACGATGGAGTATAGTTGTTGACAAGATGATGAAGAATTTCTACTAACTGTCCTACTACTTGTTGTTTACACGCTCACCAATTACATTAATTTTTTTCTTTTTACAAAGTTTTCAAGAGATGCTTCAATACTAGACACATCAGATGGATAGTTGTCATAATAACTAAATCATATACATAAACAAGGAGACAGATAGACAGAGAGAGAGTGAGAAATAACAAGTTTGTATTACACAGTTTCTTCAGCAGAAGGTTCCTAGTACACAGTAAGAATCAGGTTTTACAATATTCTATGCAATTCAGTCATCTTATCAAGAGAGAAGAAAAAGTAGTAAATGGTTCGGATGATGAATAAATGGAAATGAAGGTATCAAAAAGGGAAATGAAGTTTTTTTCGATGATTGGTGAAACCAGCTGAAAAACAATTACAAGAGAAGTAACACTGTTACAACAACGCACAGTGAAACGGACATCAAAGAATCGGAAAGTAATAAACACACACACACACACACAAGGCATATACATGTATACACTAGTTTACAATGATAAATAATAAATTAAGACGGATAAACCTACAAAGACTATAAAAAAGAGAATTGATAGTCGAAGAGACACAAGTATATCACTTGGACACAAACATATCCGAGCAAAGAATGGCTATGAACAACAAAGTTGTACACGAAAATATATCACACTAAGTTATTTGTCGAATACATGAATGTACGTATGTAGTATAAAACTGAAAGACAGACACTGAGAAGTAGTACAGTTATAGTCACTAAAAACAAAATTGCTCAAAGTTGGGAAGAACAAGAAGAAGAAGAAGAAGTATACACGTGGACAAAAGATAAAAATGAAATAAATCAATAGGAATGAAATGACAAAGTAGAAGTATAGTGATTATCAATAACAAAGCAGTACAAACTGATCTTATCCAGATGATGTAAATCGTTTTCTTTTCTCAGATTCATGAATCATTTGACAGAAGTCATCTAGTGCTCCAATACTTGTAGAAAGGCTACACAAAAAAGCAACAACATGCAAATCATGTGATACGCAATAGAACCCATCAAAATATAACAAACATGTGAAAAGAATTCGCAAGTCAGAATACTGAGAATTCATGATAACAGAATTAGCATATGAACACTTTGAAAAACTTGTTTACCAAGCAGATAAACCAAAATTAACAGTTAAGAGGATGATAAATTGCAGTTGTATCGGCGTCAACGAAATCGACTGTCATACTAAGTAACTACCCAGATGGCCAGACAGTCACATAAATCTTTACAGTAACTTACAATCAGATACACAGTTCAGACTAACAGTCGATGACTACATAGGTTGATCACCTTTAGCTAATTCTAATTCCTTTAACATATCAAGCATAATACATATGAATTCCTTTAGGGGCTAGAAGTTAGTGGTTTATTCAGCTGACTAACCAATGCCACCTGAGACAGTATGTCTAAATTTTACGCTCTACACAAGTGAGTTTGCACAGAAGTGCAGTTGTTAAAGCTGCCACACTTTATATACCGACAAAAAAGTAGAAGTAAAACTCAGCGATAATAAACGGAAATGTGTGGGAGAAAAAGTAAATATATGGAAAATAATGAGGAATGAGGCGAATATTTCGACGCCGCTGAGAAAGATTTTGAGCCATATCATCAACAGTCTTAAGACAATACTTCTTAGCATCACGAGAACCCCAACCTGACAGTCTACACTTTCCTATGTGGTTGGGCTTAAACTAACAATCAAAGAATTCATGGATTGATACTAGGTTTGCATTTCACCACCCCTAACTCTTTTCCAACCTCTAGTCCTATGGCAGTTAACAATGTTCGACGGGGAATGCAATAGCTTAGTATGCGTAATACGTATCCTAGTTATCTCAGTCGATGCAGCCTTACAACCTCATCAATTGACTTTGCACCCTTACCTAAAACTCTAAACTTGATATTACTCACTGTATTATGCATTTGACACGAGATATATTACTTAAACACCTATAGTCGAAGACAGCTACCCTCTCCATATCTTCCATATCCAATGGTCACGTATCATAGTCATAAAGAAGGACAGAGCAAACCGCTGCATTGTGCACGCGCCTTTCGACTGATAGCTGGATATCATGTCAACGAAAGAACGAATGCAAGTTGGTAAATGCGACACTATCCTTTTGTTTCCATGACATTTCATCAGTATTCAGTTCCCAAATAAGTGTAACGGTGAACAGGCTCAACCACTTCACCCTCTCGCCCTTTCTCCCTCTTAATTAGGAATCGATGTAATCCAGACCTACAGCATTATCTCAAATTTCAGAGGAGTGAACAGCATGCAAACTACCAAGACGTGTGACAAATGTGTTCCAAAAACTGAAAAGAAATGGAGCCTATATTGAAAGCTAGTAAATTTTCATTTGACAGGACAAATAAGCAGTCCATATACTCGTAACTAGGCCCGAAAGAAGCCCGAACTTCTTACCTCCCAGATAAGATTTTTTTTTAAATCCTTTACTTTCCCAGTGGGACATAGGGATTCAAGCTATGGGCTTGAAGTTTCAGTAGCAGTAGTGTTTATTTTAGTGGGGTGGGGTCGCTAGCCTCGTACCAACCTTCCCTATTTGCCAGTCTTATTACTGGCTTAGCCAGTTAAAGGAGTTCGTAGGCTGGGGATCGAACCCCGAACCACATGAGGCGTGGTTGGCGAGCATTGTACCGCTGTGCCACTGACGCACCCAAATGACATTAGATGCTACATAAGTATAAAGCAAAGAAATTCAAATATAACATTGGTAAGGCTAATCACTAATTATTAATCCATAAACCATTTTTTCTCTTGCTTAGAGACTGAGACAACCGGTGATTCGGACTAGCCAACGGGATGAATATGCTTAACTTCCATGTCCCTGTCAATTAACTTACTTTTCTCGCTCCACTTCTACTCCTAAAAGTGAAATACTGACTTGTCTCTATCTCAGTTGTAATCCCGTTAGTCCTCCATTTTCTACATTTAGTCACAGTACATGAATTCAACAGAGGTGTGTAGTTAACTATCGCTTATATTATTATACTATAATTATCCCTTCAAATTATATATATACATATTTATTTATATAATAATAATTATTATTATTATTCCCTTGGGTTCCTAGTAGGACATAGGGCTTCAACTGCACGTCTCCACTTGCCACTTCTGTCTTCCTTCTGCTGTATTTTCACCTGCATCCATCTTAGTCCATACTGTTGCAACTCCTCTTCACACGATCTCCTCCATGTCACCCTTGCACTGACGTCCCACTCGCCACTTCCCTTTAGGCCTGGTTCCACTCGAGCAATGGCCTGACGCGCGCGCCATGTCACCCAGCGGCCTCCTCAGCGAGCGAGTGTCCAATCCATCTCCACTTTCTCCTGCATATTTGTTGGTTGGCGACTCCTTCTTGTTTTGTTTGTTCCCAGCCAAAGTTTCTTGTTGGTGATTCTTTCCGGCCCGGCCCGGCCGGCCATCTGATCTTCAGTATAGATCCAGCGAAGACAGTTGTTGGTTGATGAAGGTCTGTAACAGGCTGTTGGAAATATTCTTTGTGACCCGCCCGCCAAGTTTCTGGTCCGTATAGAAGAACTGACTGACTTGACGTTGTTTGTATTGAAAATCCAACCGAATTTTGTTGTTGATGCTGGCTGAGTGACGAAGATTTCCAGATTGATTTCAGGTTGATGAATGTGTGTGTTTCTCGCCTTCCTGATTCTCGTTCGATTTGACATCCTCGTCCGTTCCGACTTCCTGTAGTTGAGACAATGCTCTCTAGATAAGTGAGTGAATAAAGTAACCTCTTTCAAATCCTTCCCGTTGATGGTGATTGACGCTCGATGTTGCTGCTGCTATTGATGTCGTTGGTTGGTTATTTTCATAACCTCCGTCTTGTCTATGTTCACCTGGAGTCTTGTCTTCACAGGCTGCTTCTTCGACAAGTTTGTCGGTTTTCGCTCGTAAGTCTTCGATTTTGTGACAGTGACATCAAACATAAATCATCCACGCGTGAAATCCAGGTCTTCTAGGTTCTTCACGTAGGTTAAGGATATCCCTGTCTTCTCGCTCGTTTCCCACTGTCTGACGCATAATCCAGTCAGTTCACCACAATTAGGAATATCATTGGTGATAATAAGCACCCTTGTCTGACTCCTGTGTTTACTCCAAACGCCTCGCTGAGTTTTCTGTTGTGGATCACTTGACATGTTCCGTTGTCGTTCAGCTGTTGAATAAGGCTGATGAATATTTGGAGTACGCCGTAGTACTCGAGTAGTTTCCAAATTACTTCGCGGTCAACACTGTCGAAGGCCTTGTCAAAGTCTATAAAGTTGAGGTAGAGGTTTGATTGCCATTCCATGCTTTGTTCTGTGATGATGATGCGTAGGGTTGCAATTTGGTCAGTACATATATATATATATATATATATATATATATATATATATATATATATGCAATCAGCTCTTTTACTTGGCCACATATCTTGTTTTCCTTTAGTTGCAAAACGTGACTGACCGCCAACTTGTCGTAGCTAATATTTTGAAGTAAAACCAGCAACTTTAAACAGTCATCTATAAGAATCAGTGATTTCAGAGGTTATCTACGGATTATAGAGCCACGTTTTTGAATCTGACTTCAGCTAAATCAATCAAATGAGTTAAGCATTATAATAATAGAATAGACTGTAATGTATAGTTAATCGGGTAGTTAGAAAAGATGCACTAAGAGTTGCTTATTAACCATGAACATAACCACCATAATACGTGGGTTTATGTTAAATCTATATATATAATGAAAGAGTTGTACTTACCGACCGAATGCATTGAATAAAGAAATTATTTCAGTACGCCTTAATTGAAAGTTTGGTTCCACAGTGCTTGATTGATCGAGAGGATTTTCTTTTCGTACAGTGTCAGAGAATAGGATTTTCAAAGCAGTACCCATACCTTGAGTCTACAAAGAGAAATCATTGTGTATATTTTAAATTGTAGTATAATCAAGAGGTTGTATTAGCCATTTTGAACTACATAGAGAAGTGAAATTCTCCAGTCATAATTTTATGATTTTATACTTCTTATCACAGGTAGTAATTACGCAATAAGCCAGTAAGAAAAAAAAACAAAGAGTGCTGGATATCTGTTTCAACATATTTTGGGACATTTTGATTGGACACTGGTCAGTAACTAGTGTAACGTGTCTAGTCTACTTCTATCTTCGGTGCAGATTGAATTCTATCAGTCAAGCTTGCAATGTGGCCACCATACTAGGTGGCTCACCATCACTGTGCACTATGAATTGTTGGTATTAGATGGTTAGAGGCAATCCTCAGGAAGCCTTGGACCCAGGTTTCGTGCTAGTTGGCATTCACCAGTCAACAAAGCGTATCTGAAACCCCGAAGGGACTCATGTCCTTCTGAGATTCAAACCCGCGTCACCCAGTGCTGCAGTCAGACGTTACCACTGAGCTACTCAGGCTCGTAATCGACCTTCTGTAGGACTGTATTGGATATTTTTGATTGCAGACTACTCAGTAACTAGAGTAATGTGTCTAGTCCTATCTTCGTTGCAGATACGCCTTGCTGATGAGTGCCAAATAGCACGAAACCAAGGTCAGAGGCTTCCTGAAAATTGACTCCAACCATATAATACCAATATTTTGGGACTTTTGGAAAAATGACAATGTACGAGCCATTACGCATACAAGAATCATCAGAAGTATTGGCGAGCATGTGCACCGAACAGCTGATATGTTGAAACTGAATGGTACACACTTTTTAACTCACGATATATCGAAACTACTATCCAGTTTCATTAATGATTGACTATTGCCATATCTTATTAGAACTTTTGAAAGAGATCTCGAAGTAGGTTACCATTCATCACTGTTAGAGAAAGTCATTCATTTAGGATAGTAATAAAAAGTTGATCAATTTCAAAGTAGTTTAATGTCAGAGTTTGGATCAAAATAAGCGTTTATCTTTCAATCAACTTAGGTTAAGATAACAATTTCTTTTTCGACCTACTAACGCATTTCGAGTAAAAACAGGCTTCTCTACTGCTTCTAAAGTATTAAATCCTTAGCAAATTATTAACCAATAGGTCTGATTTTGTATGAGTTGCTTAGGCGAATGCTGTAACCACATCAGATGTTACGTTTAGCTGTTTTAAAGGTGTTTTATCGACTTTTATACGAAACTAAAATATCTATTGTGGCGTTCGCTACACTGAGCATTAAAATAACTCTCAATTAACTATTAAGTGTTTATTTGCAGGAATTTTGGTTAGTTATAGCTTTGATCATGAGATGACATCAGTTAGTAAGCCAGTGAAACACCAGGGAGTACTGGACAGCTGGAACTCTTCATCAGCAGGCAACCACTAGTTCTCTTCCAATGGTTCCTCCAGCTGGTGTCAGCACGTGATCAAACCAATAGCCAATGAAATCCCTGGAAACTAACACCCCATAATTAATCTGATGCTCACTCCACTGACTGGGTGTATGCGAGTTCTAGTGAGAAGTTGTAACCAGCTAAGTACACCAAGTCAGGTAAGACGGAGAACAGTTACTCGTCGATGACACTGACGACTGGTGGTTGCTCGGTATATCGGAAATTCACAGAAACTAGGATCTATGGGTCATTCGATCGGATCCCAATGAGTGAGTGGTTTACGAGCTCTCCTTGTAACCAGGAGTTTCGGGGTTGAAACTTGGTGGGAGTCTAATTCTAAGGAGTCCCCAAGTAGGACTAAGTAATTATCCAGTACTCCTTGGTTTTCCAATGGTTCCTCAACTGGTTTCAGTTCCTGACCAAGCCTTTAACCTCATGGTAACATTTATCCTCACCCCACATTTATGCGTATTATCACATACCCATGTTTTGAACTATAATCTATCCACAATCCGTTCACATAAACCTCTTGGAACTTTGATGTTAGTGGTTCCATGTTAATTTTTTTAAAACATGAATGTTGGCAATGACATCTATTCTTTAACTATTATGGATATATAATTTCGGCGTCTGATGAAGAAGTTATTGATAAAGAAAATTTTTCGTTCATTAGTTAGTCTTTTGAAATTTATAATGAGTATCTTTAATTAGTGACTAACTAGTTCACAATCTTTAAGGAATGTATCTGAAGAGATAAATTGAATTTTCACAATGTCTTTCTTATCTCTAATTTTTTGTGTTTTCAAGGCATTTATTAGACAGTAACACTATTTTAAAAACGAATGAAGTTCATATGCAAACGTCATTGAACTTCGGTCTAAAACATTGTTGATAAAGTCTAGTAAATCATAGAAAATCTCGGATTAGCTTCAGTCAATAGTGGATAACAAGGCTAGGCATCTACTGTCTTTTGGGTAATCGATTCACGTGTATGCGTGTGTATGTAATTTATTGCTCAGTGAATGATATCACACTAAAAGGTATTGAATACTTGCAATAAATGTATGCTACTTATTAGTGCATAAGCCAATATTATATTATTTCTTTTGACAAGGCCTTCGACAGTGTTGACCGCGAAGTAATTTGGAAACTACTCGAGTACTACGGCGTACTCCAAATATTCATCAGCCTTATTCAACAGCTGTACGACAACGGAACATGTCAAGTCATCCACAAGGGAAAACTCAGCAAGGCGTTTGGAGTAAACACAGGGTCAGTCAGACAAGGGTGGCTTATTATCACCAATGATATTCCTAATTGTGGTGAACTGACTGGATTATGCGTCAGACAGTGGGAAACGAACGAGAAGACAGGGATATCCTTAACCTACGTGAAGAACCTAGAAGACCTGGATTTCACGCGTGGATGATTTATGTTTGATGTCACTGTCACAAAATCGAAGACTTACAAGCGAAAACCGACAAACTGGTCGAAGAAGCAGCCTGTGAAGACAAGACTCCAGGTGAACATAGACAAGACGGAGGTTATGAAAATAACCAGTCAACAACAACAACAACAGCAGCAACATCGAGCGTCAATCACCATCAACGGGAGAGATTTGAAAGAGGTTACTTCATTCACTCACTTATCTAGGGAGCATTGTCTCAACTACAGGAAGTCGGAACGGATGAGGATGTCAAATCGAACGAGAATCAGGAAGGCGAGAAACACACACATTCATCAACCTGAAATCAATCTGGAAATCTTCGTCACTCAGCCAGCATCAACAGCGAAATTCAGTCGGATTTTCAATACAAACAACATCAAGTCAGTCAGTTCTTCTATACGGACCAGAAACTTGGCGGGCGGGTCACAAAGAATATTTCCAACAGCCTGTTACAGACCTTCATCAACCAACAACTGTCTTCGCTGGATCTATACTGAAGATCAGATGGCCGGCCGGCCGGGCCGGAAAGAATCACCAACAAGAAACTTTGGCTGGGAACAAACAAAACAAGAAGGAGTCGCCAACCAACAAATATGCAGGAGAAAGTGGAGATGGATTGGACACTCGCTCGCTGAGGAGGCCGCTGGGTGACATGGCGCGCGCGTCAGGCCATTGCTCGAGTGGAACCCGAAAGGGAAGTGGCGAGTGGGACGTCAGTGCAAGGGTGACATTTTATTATTTTATTCTATTTTTGATTACAGCTTGATTCCACACCGTATTTTTGGTACAAGTATGGAATTTTCAGCGTGGATATCGGTAGCTCAAATTTCTCAGGCCGACCATAGATATCAGGTGTGCGTCGGCATGGGCTAGAACCCCGGACCATGGTCGGTGGGAGTCCTAACCACTGTGCCACCGACGCACATGGAGGAGATCGTGTGAATAGGAGTTGAAACAGTATGGGCTAACATGGATGCAGGTGAAAAGTACAGCAGAAGGAAGACAGAAGCAAGTGGAGACGTGCAGTTGAAGCCCTATGTCCTACTAGGAACCCAACGGAACAACAATAATATTATTTCTTTAACATAGTATGCAATTTCAGCCATGTTAAGTGAGAACACCGCTGCTTCTAAAACTAAAAATATAGCTTTACTACGACTGTACATCTGTGTCCGGTTTGACAGTAGGAAATGAAGTAATTAGGCGCACTGGCTATTTTCCCTCGTCTGTTATAACCTCACGGGACCTAGTCCATTAGTCCGATCTTAGAACTGATGACATACCTTAAAGTGGTTTTCACAAAAATACATGGCTGTAAAACGTTCAATGTACTATTCAACAAACCGTCGCATCTTCGCATATGGTTGTGAAACACGTGGATGTGTAGAGGAGTTAAGTAGGTCACAGATATTTCAGCACGTTTGCCTCTAGGTCATCGCCCGGGAGTAGCAAGACCCCAGCACGGCAAATGTAAAGATGTAGAATCTCAGTAAAGGTTAACTAGATGAGGGTAGGACTTATGCTACGTGTCTCGTATCCTTATATGTATTATATCAGGCTCACAATTAGATTGGAGCTGACTGAGATGAAACTTAACACACTTTGAACAAGGGGATTACTAGGATATTCGAAACAGCTGAAACCGATGTTTTATGAATCAGGACACCAGGGATAGGAAATTGAAAAAATTATTCAAGTCACTTCATGATGTATCTCTCTATTTAAATCGTATTACAGCACAGGTTAATCTGTTTCAACTCCATTTTCTAGTATCTGCCTATCTAGTACTTTTATAAGCACTGCTTTAATTTCGCCGTCATTCTTTTCACTACTTTTTATTTGTATGCGCAGGTGGAGCCACTTGAATCGTTAGGTAGTACTACTAGACATTTAAAGTGCAAAAAAAGTTCCTTACGTTTACTTACTTGAAGTTTTCCCCATAATCTGCACTTTTCACAACCAACACAATCCATTATACGTGAAATATTGAGAAAATGCTCTCGAAACTGTTTCTTCAGTATATTCGCCTCGGTAATATTTCCAGTGAATAGAAGGTGTTCATTGAATATACTACCTTCATTTCTTTAGACGGGAAAAAATAAAAATGAAAGATAAATATATGAATAATCATTTCGTCTATCGTCGAGCAAATAATACTGTCAACAATACCTATTGTGTTTGAAACAGCGATACTCTCTAGGCTTCTTTGATCTCTTGGTGAATGAAAGTGGATTCAGACCTGGAACCTCGGGCATTAACTTTCAGTGCTTAGAGAAATACATCAAAATTCTAAAAAATACAAATAAAATCAACAGTCTTTTCCTAGGGTTCCGAGAGGACATAAGGTTTCAGTAGCATATCAGCATTTCAAAATGTTGTCTCCAGTCCCTTTTAGCTGTCTCTCCAATTGACTCTAAGCATTCACTCCCTCCTCACACGAGCTCCTTCATGTCACCACCGGATCCATGCTCTACTCGTTGTTCCCCATTCGGATTCCACTCTGGGGGTTGGCGCGCAATGACACTTAACTGTCTTCTCAGAGTATGTCTAACCCGCTACCAATTTTTATGCATATTTGATTGCTGGTGGTTTCTCGGTTGGTTCGTTCACAGGGTTCCTTGTTGTTTACCTTTTCCGGCCGCACATCCGATCTTCACTATCGAGATAGCAAAGATATCTGCTGTTGGAAGTCTCCAGCCTGTTGAACATGCTATTCATGATGCATCAAGCCTCTGAACCATATGGAAGGATCGAATTAACATTAGTGTTGAAAATTCGGATCTTCTTCCTTATGCTGTGTGCAACAGATTTTCCGATCCTGCCATATGACATCCTCATTCTTGCTACATGTGGTTGAAATCATGCTGTTTAGGCAAGTGAAAGAGGTGACTACCGTCAATTTTCTCGCATTGATGGTGATTGGTGCTTGTTGGTGTGAGTTAGGTATTTTTACCACCTCTGCCGTCTCTATGTCCACTTGAAGTCCTATATTTGCTACCTCCTATGTCAACTTGTTCATTTTCTCCTGCCAATTTTTGAGTTTGTGTGGGCATTAGTCATAAGTCACTGGAAAAGTTTATATCTACCTTCACATCAGTCCAAAGTATGCCCGCCTTCTTGCTTCCTACAGTCTGTTGTATATCCAGTCTACTACAATCAGGAATAACATCGTATGTAGTATCACAAAGTGCAAAGCTCCAAATGCATGATTACTGATTTATTATGATTTAAAAAGTAAGTCGTTCCTATTACTTATCTGTGGCCATTCAACTGCTTGCTAAATCTCTATTATGACTCAACTGAAACTAAGTGGATATATAAAAATAACCAAACTTAATGTTTTCAGAATGAATGCACTTTGGCGTGTTAACTAGAATGCTTAACCAATCACTGTTTGTTTTTCTATTATAACACATCCTGATTGTTTATTAAGAAAATGTATTCAAAACTTATCCAGCATTGAAAAGATTGTTTAGTTAAATAGCTAATCGATATCCCTATTGACAATCCATTATAAAAATTGCTTCCATGCTGAAATTTATCTGTCCAGCAGACTAATCAACTCTTCAATAAGATGTTAACGTATCTAAACAACTTCAAAACTTGACTTCTATATTTCTTGTTTAACCTTTCCGTTTATCGTAAGAGTAGTAGAATTTCCCAGATGTCGGGACAGGTGTTGTTGAATTATTCCTATTCCAAGTATTTTCAGTTGGTTTGATAAATAAAGCCGCATTTATTAATCTCTTCCTCCACACTTCTACATCAGATTTTAAGGCTACCACCACCTTGTCTCAACCTATTGTATGTTTGTGTGTAACCACCACAAGCAGTGATATAGCTGAGTTATTTTCTAGATTTCTCATCTAAATTTCACATCCTTGTGCACCTCTAATCGAATTGACCTCGGTCTACAACCTTGACCTATGACCTCACAATTATTGCAGAGTATTAGATAAACTAAGTTATTTAACCAATATAATTTGCTTATAAGTTAGTTTGTGGGTTTGAACGCCACACCTTGGTAATAATTCTACTAACTTTACAACAAAATGGAAGGAAGAGAAGGAACTATAAAAATCAAGTTTTGAAGCCGATTTGGCATCGCAATTCTGATATGATTATGAACAATAAATTATGTTGGCAGTAACATCCAGTGGATAATACTGTTTCGCTATGTAATATGTCCAAGAAACAAATTACTACAGAATTACATACTACCACAGTATCCAAGTTTTACACATATTATTTTTGTGCATTGTTTAGTTGATTATGTTGCATTAGATAACAAAAATATCACTTTTCCTAGCCTGTTTTTTGCTTTCAGGAGTAAATGAGGTTACAATTCAAGTCTCTGACCCCCTTCATATACTATAAACAATTTTTTTTTAATTTTCGATAGAGAAAGGAAGACCAGATTTGCAGTATAAAATGATATCATTCTATTTCACAGGTAATCATCAGCTGCAAACTACCTGAAATTACAATGGTTATAAATAACAACATTTCATACTTGATTGTTTGAAAGGTAATAAAGAAAACATTGTAATGTGAACGTGCCCGGAATACAAGTATTACAATTTATAGTTGAAGTTATCAATAATTTATATACTACCAAACTATGAAGACACTGTTTCTCCTTTGTATGAGAGGCAAATGAACACTTTCTTCTTTTCAACTGTTGGATACTTCTCTTTCTCATCTCTTTCTTTGCTGTACTTTAGGATAAATCCTTTTGGATACCCGTTTTCCTTAAGGCATTTTTCAACAAAGCTTAATTCTTCTTCTACCTTGTTAGGCGAACATAACTTCCTGGCCCTGTCGTAGAATGTCCTTACTAATCCCCGCTTATAGGTCATAGGGAAGAAGCTGTTGTAGTGAAGGTATTGTCCGGTCCAAGTTTCTTTTCTGTAGATGGACTTTTCGACCATTCCATCGTTTCTTCTTTTTACATTTAGGTCCAGGAAATTGAACTCTTCGTTGTGTTCGAATTGCAGTTTTATGTATAATGGCTTATTGTTTACGGACAGTGAAGTCTTTTTCAACTTTCTTAGTCATTCGTTTCCTGATAAATTAGTCTGGATAGCTATTTTCAATTAAGGTATCATAAACAATCCCTAGTTCACCTAAGCGAAACTCGAATAACAGCAGTAAAATCCACTATACAGAAAAAAAAATTGCGTCTATATTTGAAGACGCAGAGATGAATAAACTTTGAATTGACCTTCATTTTGTATTCCCGGAAATCATTTAAGTTCGAAACCATTAGCACATTCCGAAGGGAACAGCAACAATATTAGCATTACAACTAATTGTTACCACACAATAGTAGATCAAGGTTATCCTAACTTATATTACACGTAATATAGTGAAAGGTCATCACTTAGAGATTGAATACGACTTTTAATATTGCTTAACAAGCTAATATTAGACAATACTTACAGATTCAAAATAGACTGATAAGAATTTCCATGACGTTTGCCGACTTAATTTGAAGCGCTTTCTGCAAAAAGTCCTAATTTGATCTGTATTTTTGTGTGTTTATCGGAATTAATTCTGAATCTGTGTATGCTGTTTGTGTTCGATCAGTACAAGTTTCCCACATAAGCAGTCACAAAATAACATAAGCAGAGGACAAACAAAATCTATTCATAGTGCTATTCTATCTCATCTTGCGGATAAAGAACACAAGATTGTTGTCAACGCGGTGGCTTTCAAAGTCATTTACCGCATAACCAACAAATCTTGACTTTGCCTTAAGAGTTCGACTACTAAATATTGATGAGGCCGTTAGGATCTACATTAAGAAGCCTAACTCATGTATCCAGAAGAAGCTATTTCTGACATTGTCCTTACCTTGGCCATCTACGATCGAATGATCTTCAATTTTTTGTAGAAATTTCCTTAATTTTAGTTGATATTCTATTCCCTATTATATTTTTATTATTATTATTATAATTTAAGCATATTTAATGTACTGTAATTCCATTGATCTTACTTTACAAATCGATATTATTAAAAAACACCAATATTGTTAATGACGAATATTCTAGAATATTCTGTGTATACAAACATATATAATAGTAAAGCCAAAAGAGGAAATTATCGAAATGGATATTATGCGCTCAATTATTTCATTTTTTATACATATAGAAAAACCAATAAAAGATGTGCACTTGACACGGTTTAATAAAAACAGACTTGATTGAGAAATTGCATAGATGACAGCAGTAACAACAGATCAAGGCGCATGAAAATGAGAAAGGGTTATAAATAAAGCCTTATATATATATATATATATTGCGCTCCGGTGGCACAGCGGTTAGGACGCTCGCCGACCGTGCATATGGTCCGGGGTTCGATCCCCAGCCAACGCACTCCTTTACCTCTCTTAGCCAGAAATAATGCTGGTAAAGAGGGAAGGTTGGGCATGGGGTTAGCAACCCCATCCTGTAAAAATAAACACTGCTACAGAAACTTCAAGCCACTAGCTTGAAGCCCTATGTTCCACTGGGGACGTGAAGGAAAAATTATATATATATATATATATATATATATATATATATAAAGAGAGAGAGAGAGAGGGAGAGAGAGAGGGTGTGTGTTAGCACTTGATTTGTCACACCACCATAGTGCCAAGCCAAGTATTGAAGTATACAACAGTAGCTTACAACAGCGTGACACTTTCAGTGCATTTCGCCTAGAACCAAAATTTGTTAAATTTGTATCACATGGAAAGAGTACGTGCAAATGAAAATGGATTACAGGGAGTGAGTGCTATGTAACCAATCATAATCCAGTTACTAATTTGTACATGAATCCTCAAAAATATCCAGTGATAGGAAGAGAAAATTATTATTATTGTTATTATTATTAATAAACTATCATTTAGACAACCCATCAATCAATCAATAAGTAGTGAATGAATGCCAATTCATCAACTCTAACCCGTAAAACCCTTAGTATAATAAACCCTCATATTTATGGTGTGATTTGTGCCTTCATTTAACTTCGATAAAGTGTCATTACAGATCACTTAATATAATCACACATTTGCATATAAAACTGTTTTTTTAAGAGAATTTCTTTTAATTAATAATAAGTGGTTGTTTTTTTATAAAGTTATAATTACTTATGCATGAATTTACCAATTATTATTAATGTTATACAATTTTCTAAGAATAGTTATTGGGTTAAGCCAAAAATATCTGAGGATTATTCACCTTTTGTTGGTTTCAAGTAGGTTTAAAAAATCTCGGAGTTACTAAACTTTTCACAACTATAATATACATCCAAGTGTTGGTTTGCAGGGATTTTATTAGTTTCAGGATTTTATCATGAATCGAAATCAGTTAGAGAACCATTGGAAAAACTGCAGGGAGTACCGGACAGCTGTTTCGTCAGCCGAGTTTGGGACTCTTCATCAGTATGCACCCACAATAGACGTCGAATCCAGGACCTTCTGGTTACAAGGCTAGCGAGCTCGTAGATCATTAAGTCACTGGGACCCAAACCAATGACAACCTCATGAATCCTTACTTCTGCTAATTCACGATATGGCGCAACCACTAGTAAATATCGCCGCTGATGAGTATTTGTCCTCACACCCGACCTGCTGTACCCCCCAGTGGTCACGACTTCCCACTAGAACCTAGGTAACTACTTTCCCGAATAGGGCCAGTTACTAGTGAACATCAAATTGATATTCAAGTGTTGGTTTGCAAGGATTTGATTAGTTTCAGGATTTCATCATGATCTGACATGGTATATCCCACTGGTATGGCTGGCGATTTGAGAAAGTCCTAAATACTTTAGCATAAATGACTGCCACTTAGACACAATAAAAAACGAAGCATTCCTAATACAGTAGGACGTATTTTGTAGTATAAAATCATGAAAATGTAATGTCGGATGTTTAACTCCAAAGCCTAAAGTGTAGATATAATTATATGATGAAGCAGTATTTACTGTGACAGACAAGCAGGTCATCTGAAACCGTCCAAATAAATACTTCACTTCATAATTTATTTTTATAATATATTACTTATGTTATTACATGAACATAACGCAACGCTATATTAAGCGTAGTTGTTAGTGCATGTTACAGGCCCACTCCATTGGTGTTAACAGTGCTATTCATTAAACACAAGTCTTTTTGTACATCCTTCAGGTGTCAGAATTATGGGTGGATTACTTGATGTTCTAGTTACATGTAAACTATCGTTAGTTGCTCGTGTAGTACTTACTAGGATAGTGTTTATAGTCACTCTGTGTTCGGATTTCAAGCTTGACTGCAACTCCTCAGTGTTTAATAGATTTACTCTACAGTCCTACAGACTATGACCAGCTAGCCATGTTCCCCTGAACTCATTTTAAGAAAGACTGTGATTTTTTGTTTGCAGGAAATCATAGAGGTTTTGGCTGAAATAAAGGTGTGCATTTTTAGTCATTCAAATGTGATGAGTTATTGTCTTCAAAATGTACGTGACACCATAACGCAAGCGAAAATATATTCGTTTCTAGAACAAAGTCTATCAGTCATCTGATAAAGAGATTCATTACATGTATATTTCGGCAATTATGTACTGGTGAAACTGATAGTGAAATCTCACTATAGTTTTCCTCCTGGAACCAGTGTTTAAACAGCGCATGACTATTATTATTATTATTATTCATAAATGGAGCTATGACTGAAGAAATGAAGTGTATGACCTGCAGAAATTTGATTTGATTGTGTTATATCTATTTTTCACAGTTAGCCATAATTTTATTAATTTGAGTAATTAAACCCTTTAGGCTGGAGGAATCCTGTTACATCCCTTGTAGTCTTGGCCACAACGGTATTATCTAAACTTGACTAGGGTAATCACTAGATTGCAAGGAAGACTAGTAACCCCTCTCTATCAAACAGTAACACTTTCGATATTGATGAATATGGTTTTGAAAGATACACTTGAAACAAGAGAGTATAGTGACTAATCAACTGAGAACTATCCTAGACCTGAAAAATCGATACGTAAAGGATATATATACATATATATATATATATATATATATCTTACTTCCATTGCGTTCCAAATGGCACATAGGGTTTCAAGCATGACTCTTGAATTTTCAATAGCGCAGGGTGTTGTTTTTACAGAGTGAAGCTGCTGGCCTCATGCCCAAACTTCCCTCTTTACCGAACATACTGTCAGAAAAGTGACGTTTAGGAGTACATCAACCAGAGATCGAACCAGGGTCATGTGCGTGATTAGCAAACATTCTACCACTAAACCATCAACGTATATATATATATATATATATGCGTCGGTGGTACAGCGGTTAGCTTGCTCGCTGAGCATGCACATGGTTCGGGGTTCGATCCCCGGCCGCCAACGCACTCCTTTACCTCGCTAAGCCAGTAATAAGACTGGTTAAGAGGAAGGTTGGGCATGAGGCTAGCAGCCCCATCCTGTAAAAATAAACACTGCTACAGAAACTTCGAGCCTCTAGCTTGAAGCCCTATGTTCCACTGGGAACGTGAAGGAAATAAATAATATGGATATATATATTTGCACATAACTCTAAATATGACTGGAGGGAAGAAAACCACATCCATCAAAACTTACTGAATAATGTGTAGAAAATCTTTAACAGCAGTTCTAGTCTCCCTGTCCATTTCACTATCCCCTGTGAAATAATTTTGTTTCAGTAAATATGGTGCCGCTTTAGCCAAAGCGCGTAGTTCTACTAAATAAGTGAAGTATAGGTTACGCAATCGAATAGGACCATCAGGTACAATAGATGGATCAAAGCGACGACGGAATTCTTCTAAATTCGGACCCCAACCTGGATTATTTTTATCGTAATCACGAGAAATAGGTTGATTCCTTGAAAAAACTGGAAAATGAAAAAATCAAGTGAGATTATAATTCACTTGACTACTGCTATAAGATATAAAAAGGTCAAGGGGTTCATCAGAACAAAAAGATCAAAAAGCCTTTCTGATTAGAGAATTCATAACCACCTGAAGGTTGTGAGGATAGTATTGTTATTTTTATACAATCGTAATGCTTAAACAATATTGACTATATTCAGGCGAATATATAATGACATGTTGAAATTGAAGAGCAAATAAAAATAAGGCGATTAAATGTGTTCGTCTCTTGTGTTAACTCTGTACGACCTTGACCTTGGCGGCCTGTTGAATTTTTGGGCCTGCTAACAAAATATCTACATTTTGCATCCAGTTTCCCGTTTACCAGCATACACTTATCACTTAAATATGAATTCTAGCAGAATCATTTACTCTCGTAACTTTATTAATAATTTACGACCAAATGACTTTCATATTCCAAAGAAACCAAGGAGGAAACATCGTAGTGGTTGGCAGAGAGCTCTCAAACGTACACCAATACACTTAACTACGGTCCCCGTCATAATGAACTCAAACTGTCGCTCTCTACCAAATAAGATAATGTATCTACAATCCCTGATGTCAACTGATACGTATCATAACACTGCCATAATCGCATTACAAGAAACGTGGTTGCATGAACTGTATGATGACAACCTTATCTCACTAAAGGACTTTATTTTATTTCGACAAGACCGTCACTGTTGTAATAAGAAAAATGGTGGTGGCGTTGCAACTTTTATTCACTCCAAATGGTCTGTCTCAAATAACATCTGCTTCACCTTCTCAAATGACTTCATTGACTGTATTACTGTCAAATGTCGCCCCAAACATATCCCCAAATACAAACAATTCTATATTACAAACATGTACATTTCTCCTAGTTGCTCTCCATCTGATCTATCTAATTTTGCTGATGAATTCACCATGTTTGCTGCTGCCAACTTCGACAACTCTCTATCCGTTATTACTGGAGACTTCAACACATCAGATTGCTCCTTTCTTGAAGCTCTTGGTCACACAAATATAGTCAAATTTCCCACTCGACTTGACAAAACCCTTGACTTGGTTTTTACCAATGATGAAGGAGTATATGAAACACGTAGACGTTCACCGATACATAACTCCGATCACTGCATTGTCCGCGTTTTGCCAAAAATATACAGCAAAACACATATTAAAATCTTCTCACACCTGTCCACGAAGGCACAACAAAGAAGCTACACATCTGACAACTTACTCAATCTAAGATGCATGTTAAAAGATACCAACTGGGATCTATTCTATGAAAGTACATTAGATGACTCAATCACCAATATAATGGATTATCTTAAGTTCTGCCTTGACATATGCTGTCCCAAACAAACACTGTTCAAACGCCTCGACCGCTTCTCGTCACCCCATCTCAAACAACTTCGCAGGCAAAAAGAAATGTTATATAAATGCAAAGACAAGTTAGGACTTAAAAAGATAAATGCTCAAATCAAATCTGAAATCAAAAATCTTAATGCTATCTATAACCAAACACTTTTATCATGCAAATCTCCAAACAGCATGTGGAAACTTTTCAATGAAATTACTGGCAATAGTAAGCGATGTAATGTTTTTCCCTCTTGTGATGTTAATGCTCTTAATCTGTCTTTTATACGCTCTCCTTCTACCATAACCACTTCTAATGTTACCAATCTTGTAGCTGATAACTTCCAGGACTTCAATACTCTCGATGTTTTGAAATGTCTTAAAACTCTTAAGCCCTCACATAGTCTTGGCCCTGATGGCATACCTGCATATGTCCTAAAACAATGTGCAGATGCTTTATGTTCTCCTCTAACTAATATACTAAATGCTTCTTTCTCCGAAAACGTTGTACCTGTTCCATGGAAAGACATTAAAATAGTCCCTGTCCCTAAACCTGGAAATAGCAAGAACGTAAAGTTCAGACCCATCGCCATCACTTCCCCGTTTCTAAAGCTCATGGAAAAACTAATACTTCTTAAACTCGAACCCTCCCTTAAAAGCTTCGAAGACCCCAAACAATTTGCCTACAGACAGGGTAGGAGTACTTTAGACGCTGCAGCCGTCTTACACAACAGTATTGTCTCATCATTAGACAAAGGTGCCAAATATGTCCGCTGCACGTTTCTTGACTTCACTTCTGCTTTCGACTCTGTACCTAGAAGTCTCTTGCTAAATAAGCTCTCCACGACACAAACCGAGTCTTGGGTCACTAAGTGGTTGCATTCCTACTTTTCAAACAGAATGCAGTACACCGTATACAAAGGTCAATCCTCCTCTGCTGTGCTCACTGAATCTGGTGTCCCCCAAGGTGCTGTACTCTCCCCACTTCTCTTTTCATTCTTCCTACATGACCTACCGTCTTCAAATGATATTAACTTTGTCAAATATGCTGATGACCTAACTGTATCTTTACCTGTCAAATGTCAAAATGACTGCTCTAAACTAAATGGCTTCTTATCAGAAATTAGCCAATGGTCCAAGGAAAACGGTCTAACCTTAAACCCCTCCAAATGCCAAACAGTTAATTTCACCTTTAGGCATAAATCTGACCTAAACAAACTGGTTAGCGCTCACGAGGTGTGCAACATAGATGGCACTGAAATAGAAACTAAGTCGGAAATTAAATACCTAGGCGTCACTCTATCTTCTGATCTTTCCTGGTCGTCTCATATCTTGACGATTTCCAAGAAAATATACCGTCTTACCTTCTACATCAAGAAGTTAAGACATTCTGGTGTAACCCAACCCTTACTACTACAATTTGTTAACTCCCGTATTCTGCCTATAATTCTCTATTGCTCCCCCTTAGTCTTTCCTGGGCTATTGAAGAAAGACTATACCTTATTACGTAGGATGTTAAAGGTTGTCAGCAGGGTAAGCAGCTTGCCACTTAGCCAGCTTGTTAACATTCTGGTGGACAGGCACATGGACTCATGTGAAAAATGGGCGAAGTCCATTTTATCTGACTCACAACACCCTCTACACTCACAACTCTCCCCATGTATCTCTTCAGGGAAAACAAGAAGTCTATATAGGAAACTATATGCCCGCACTAGTAAGTACAAAAACTCATCCATACCCTACCTAGCCCGTGTTCTGTGTGATAAAGAATGCATCAGGCATGAAACCTTTAACTTATTAAATAGTCACTAGAACCAATGAATCTCGTCTTTCCAACTCACATCATTTATAGGTACAACGTTTTCTCTCTCTTCATTCTGTATTTATTTTTGTTATGTGCTGTTTTGTTTCTCTCTTCCTTGCAAACTCTACTTAAAACATTCTTGTTCGTTCTTTTACACTCTGTATATCTCGACCATTTTGCTATCGCTTACGCCAGTAAATATGCTAGTAGTATCTACTTTTGTAACACCTTCAAACATTTTAATTTTGGCTTTGCTACCGACATACTAATATGTTGTTGAGATAATCTTTAAACTATGTAGAACTTTATTTATTGTTAATGTAAACAAAAAACTGGATGCAATATTGTAGTAAAATGCTGAGAATTCCATTCTGTATCACAAGTACTGATTTGGAATAAAGCTTATAATAATAATAACTTCAGTGGCAGTTAGATGACTACGATCGGGATCGCACGTACGAACTATGCTTACTTTGTGACAGGTTCATATAAAAAGCAAACAAAACTATTGAGACAGGAATTCATGATTTGACCACACATTGAATATGCAATATGAGGTACCAATAAACCTTTGTTATATATATATATATATATATATGATAGAGAAGATTTGTAGCTCAGGTGGATGATTTGATGTGGTTGTGTTCTCTGAGCTGGATAGTTTATTTGCGGAGCTTTCATCGCCCTACTAGGTGACATCTTCAGCGCATACTTCAATTTGAAGTGAGCTTTTAGATTTCTCCACGAGTTTATTATTCTTCCCTCCTGGTGACCTTGGACGTGATTGGTTGTTTTTGTGTGTTTTCACACCATCTAGGCTACTTGTATTGGAACTGATTGTTTCTTTGACTTGAACTTTGACCCTTTGTGTGTGAAGATTATTTCTTATCGGTTGATAAATTTTGTCTATCTTTATGTGTGTATTGATTGATGATTCACTGGAATGCTAAGCTTCTAAAAATTCTCTAGCATTCTTGTTGTTTCCTCTGTCTAGTATTTAAACGTTGTCCCAGTCGAAATGATGTCCGTGGTTGTCTGTATGTAGTGATATGAGGGAGTGGATATCATGTCTTTTGACGGCTAGCTTATGATCTTGGATACGAAGACGAAAGGGACGTCCACTTTGGCCAATGTAGTGTTCGCCTGACTAAGACGTCCAAAAATGGTATTTGGTTTTCGGATTCCTCCTCTCTTGTGAATTTGATGTCGTTGAAGACATTGTTTACTAAGTTGTGAGTTTTATCTAACTCGTTTCTTTTGATTATTACAAATGTGTTGTCGACGTAGCGTATCCAAATCTTGGGTTTGATCTTTGGTAGAATTATGTTTTCGAGCCTTTGCATCACTGCTTCTGCAATCAAACCTGATATTGGCGATCCCATGGGTGTACCTCTGACTTGTTCATATATTTGGCCGTTAAATTGGAAGTGCGTTGTCAGGCATGAGTTTCTGCATTCCATCCAGCTTCTGTGTTGCATTTTTGATTGTTGTGGGAGGTGTTCGTCGTTGCTAAGTAATCGCTCCATGGTTTCTTTTGCTAGTATTTGTCCGATTGAGGTATATAATAATGCTGTGACGTCTAAGGATGTCATCATTTCATGTTTATCTATTTGGATGCCTCTGATTTTCTCTAGGAATTGGATAGCAGAGTTTATGGAGTGATCACAAGATTCCGTTAGATGTTTTAGTTTTCTGTATAATTCTTTGGATAAATTATATGTTGGTGTTCCTGGGAGTGATACAATTGGTCGTAACGGGATAATTGGCTTGTGTATTTTGGGCCTGCCGTAGAATCGGGATAGGACTGGTTCATTGAATTTCATTCGCCATTGGTCTTGTTTTGTGATCTGTCCAGTTTTGATGAGCTTGTTTAAGGTCCATTGGATGCGGTTGTTCAATGTTTGTATGGGATTTGTTGGGAGTTGCTGATATACATCCTCGTTTTTGAGTAGTTCTTAAGCTTTCTTGGTGTATTCTCCTCTGTCCATGACTACTGTTAATCTTCCTTTGTCGGCTGGCAGAATGACGATGTCTTTCCTGTTTTTCAGCTTTTTGAGGGCCTTTAGTTCTTGATAGTTGAGTTGTATGTGTTGTTCTTTCTGTTTGACTATTGGTACAATTGTTTGGTGTATCTCTTCCTGTGTTTCCTCATTCAAGTTTGATGATTTGAATAATGATTTAGGCGAAGAAATCAGTTTTTGAAGCATCTCCGGTGTTGTAGTTTAATCATTTTTGTAGTAGTTGTTGTTCCATTTTTGATAGTGGTTGTTTTGATAGGTTGACTACGCAGTCTATAGGTGGATTGTCTGGTTGTTGTTTTCTGATCTTGGCTAGCTTGGTTTTGAGGACTCTTCGTCTTTGTTCTCTGTGCTTTCTACTTGACAATGTAATTGCGGTGATCAGCGTTGACATTGTGGAAGACGAATGGTCAAATTGGTGATTACAGACGCACATTATCGGATCAACAAATAATAGATGTCAAAAAAGAAAAACTAGAGAAAACCCTCAACCAAGAACACCTGTCAATAGGGTGTAATTAATGTCAAGCGTTCAGTCTTTGGTGTTGGTGCAGGGTGAGTAAGGTTTGCAATGCGGTAACAAAGTTGAGTGACTCGCCATCGCAGTGTACTCTGAGTTAATCACTCTATACATCTATCAAAGTTCTACAACAGGTTAGCTGTTAACCCGAATAGGTCGGCAGTAACGTTCCTGATTGCAGAATTAGGTGATGCAGATTCAATTCTCAGAGGAGGCGTAAGTCCCTCCAAGACTGCAGATCACAAACACCTTAATGACGACTGCCGACAAGCACGAGACTGACTTCCCCTAACCACTTCACGATGTGTTTTTACGAGTACGAAATCCTTTCAGTCTGCTACTAGTGCTTTACCTACTAAGGCGTAAACAACCAAGTAGTGATAGTAGTGGCCTACGAAAAAGTTTGCGGTCACTGAAAATTGGAATTTTAATTCAATGTTAATGAATTACTAGCTGATTAAATGTTCCATGCAGTCAGGTGTTAAGTGGTACTTACGAGCATTTAAAAAAAATATATTCTATAGTTGGTTTTTAAGGATTAGTTTTGTTTTTACGAGTTGATCACGGATTGATATCAGTTGGAGAACCATTGAGAACCACGGAGTACCGGACAGCTGTTTCATCCTAGTTTTGGAATCACCAGCAATACGCGCCAAATGGGGTTCGAACCCAGGACCCTCCAGTTGCAAGGCGAGTTCGTATACCATTCAGCCACTGGGACCCGATTCAATGGCTCATGAATTCTAACCCATTGAAGACACTGGTTGGGGTCGCGCTAAATCACGAATCAGCAGAAGTTAGAATTCATAAGCCATTGAATTGGGTCCCAGTGACTGAATGGTATACGAGTTTGCCTTGTAACCGGAAGGCCCTGGGTTCGAACGCTGGGTGCATACCGCCGATGATACCCAAACTAGGTTAACGAAACAGCTCTCCAGTACTCCAGTGATGGTTTTCAAAGGTTCTCTAACTGATATCAACCCGTGATCAACTCGTAAAAATATAATAGACCTTTTTCATTATTCAATAACTTTCAACATATGCTCTGCATATGAAAGAATTTTTCTAAAATTTATACAATGATGTTAGGGTAGACCTGTAGATGGATATTTTATATGCTGAATAGATCCTTAAAATCGAGAAGATAATTACACTGCTAATTGATATAGCTTCTTAGAATATAACTTCAGTAATCCAAAGGTTGATAATTCAAATTTATTAACTAATCTAGTACAATAGTTCCATACTCTATGCCAATCAAATAAAAGATGTAATATAAAACTCCCATAATATATATTATCCTTATCAAAATAGAAGAGACTTACGACTCAATGGATATCGATAAGACAAATGAATACTAATGCTGCTGTGTAATCCAGATATCATTCGATAAAATGCACGTTTCTCAAAACACGAAGACTGACCTAATTAAAAATTAGATTGTGAGTAAAAAGAAAAAAGGGGGAACAAGTGCACAATTGTAACTGATTGTATTGATTTGGTTTGATAAGAAAATTAAAATATGACTGCTGAGGAAAACTTAATTTTTCAAATAAACTGCTTTTATTGACATATTTTAGCAGATGTGGACAGACACCTAATGTGTAGGCCTAGTTGAACATGGTATTCACCTCCTATTAATATTGCTGAAGAAGCAGATAAATGAAGTCACAGCTATTAACTGTAAGAATCCTGTCAACAGGTTGTTTTTATTCCTTCACGTTCTCAGTGGAACATAGGGTTTCAAACTAGAGGCTTGAAGTTTCTGTAGCAGTGGAGATTATTTTTATAGGATGAGGTTGCTCGCCTCATGCCCAACCTTACCTCTATACCACCTTTATTTCTCGCTTAGCGAGGTGAAGGAGTGCGTTGGCGGCCGGGGATCGAACCCCGAACCATGTGCATGGTCGACATGCGTCCTAACAGCAGTGCCACTGACGCAGGCGGAATCGAACCCTAATTCCCCATTACCCGTTATTATCACGGTAAGTAGATCACCTACCAACAAATTGATAGGGCAGACATTTGAAAGATCCGTCACCGACACAAGGCCGACTGCGATCATTAAAGTTATCCAAAGTCATCACGGAACTCAACAGAGACAGCTGAAACTCACTTCGGTTGGTTCTGTTCTAATAAATGCACCCGTTCCCTTGCGGTCAGGGCATAATTGCATGTATTAGCTCTAGAATTACTGCAGTTATCCATGTAGTATATATGATCTAAGGAACCATAGATGATTTAATGAGCGGTTTCAACGTTTTAAGGTATGTACTTAAACATGCATGGCTTAATCTCTGAGACACGCATATGAGTACTGGCAGGATCAACCAGTTTATTCACACAGTGATACACCCATTTACTGGGTATTGGTTTTCAGAGAACCAAACACACCCATCCCTGCCTCTTGCGAGACGAGACCGGCATGCAGAGTCATCTTGTGGCGCAACTACTCGAGAGCCCTCTCCCTCAGTGGACCATTCACACCGTTTGTATACATAGTAATGCATAGGTAAGCACTGTTACGCCGATCATTGATTGCGTCAATCAATTATGCACTGCATAGACAAGCCCAATAGAACTCACCTCGCATACAAGACTAACCAAACGTATTATTATACGCAAAAGTAGCAAGCACAGCGACGCTATAGTGACAATAGGCCCCTATAAACAAAGCCAGTAGCCACCACTAGTCAACAGGTTTAGTAGAATTTTTTTTGTATTCCTTCACGTTCCCAGTGGAACATAGAGCACCTTCAAGATAGAGGCTTGAAGTTTCTGTAGCAGTGGTGATTATTTTTACAGGATGAGATTGCTAGCCTCATGCCTAACCTTATCCTCTTTGCTAGTCTTACTACTGGCTTAACGAGGTAAGGAAGTGCGTCGGCCGGAGACCGAACCACCTGAGTGGTAGGCGAGCACTCTACCTCTGTGTCACCGACGTTTAGTAGATAACGCTAAAACAAGTGTCTGTCATTCATTTCAACATGATTCTAATATATTTGCAAAAATTAGCATCAGCAACAGCGGCAGTAGCTCATTGAATACTTAGATTTATTTTTTTTTCACGAGTGTCATACACAAAGTTCAATGTAAATATAAGCTAATGTTTAAAGTGTGGACAGACACGCAAATCTTACTGTTACGCATATTTTTGTCAACACAAAACTAAGTTAATATTAATTAAACAAAGTGCTAGTGTGCAGAAAAGTCAAGGTACTTGTAATTTAAAAATAATAATAATAAACAGATAACTGAAAATCGATCACTACGCAAGTAGTTGCTAAATATTAAACACACAAGAGTTCTTATACAGCCGTTGACCTAGATTTTTTTAAAATGATAATACTGTGGTTTATTTCATCATAATGCAACATTACGTGAAAAGAAAGAAAGATTTGAAAAAAAACCCACAAATTATCGTAGAAATAAGAATATTGTAAGAAACAGAACTAATATAAGTGGCAACATTATGCATAAATCTCTGAAGAGTTATTTCTCTGAGCCCGAAAATTCAAGAATCCTAGTCATAGAGCCTCAATAAAACTTCACAGGCGATTTACACCAACAGTTATTAAATCTATGCATTTGTTTTTTTTTATTTTCCAAATTTTCATAGGCTTTACTACTGATTGTAATCCTAATATCTTATTCCAACAACATGATACAATAAAGTATGAGTTGTAAGGATATTTAGAATTACATATTCAATCACTCCTTCTTATAAACATATAATCGTAAACATAGATTACGAAACAACCATGTAAAAAAGTACAGCAAGCGCCCAGTCACTAACAAACCAGTGAATAATTAATGAAAACTATTCAATTCGAGCTTGCCTTGTAACCGGAAGGCCCTTGGTTCGAACCCTGTTGGTGAGTGCGTACTGCCGATGATTCCCAGACTAGGATGAAACAGAAGCTGTCCAGTACCCCCTGGTTTTCAATGGTTCTCTAACTAATATTAATCCGTGATCAACTCGTAAAAACCTAACTAACCCTTACAAACCAAACTATAGAAAATTCGAAAGAAGACTAACGATAATGAATCCACAGCTAAGAATAGTGTTCATGTGATGTTATCTAAGAACACTATCGGCAGAATCTCTATCCCTATTGATTATGATGGACTACAGTAAAAATAATATTTCAAAGAGAGAGGGAAGTCAACAAGTTCTTTGAAACAGCTGTAGACGTCGAATTGAAGAAGTATTTTCGTCTTTGAAAACAATACATACGGAACGGAAATGTAAAACAGTTTAGTATGATCATTACAATCAACTTTTAAGCAAGAACTTTAGTAACAAACAGTGCAGATAACACAGAATACACGTGAAATTAGTTTATAATATTCAAGGGTAGGTGTTTAAAATTGACAATCAAATAAAAATATAAAAAAGTGCATTGAAAATATGTTCAAGAATTATAATTTGTAGGTTTATAAGACAGGTGTGTGCCGTTTGCTGCTGAGAATTGACAAGTAGTATACTGTATAGTGTCTCTTGAATATAGTGAGATGCTAAATTACAAAAGATTGGATTAGATATCGTTTGTTTTAGTACCTTATCCAACTTATCACCGAATACTGAAGACTAACCTTTGAATCAGCAGAATAAATTGTCCTGGGTCTGAACTTTAAACGATTGCTTCTTTCCCTGAAAACCACTATTCTTCTTTGAAATGAAATCATCTTTAGACATCCACTACTCCAGCTTCATCCTTGTCAAGATCCTGCTCACCGCAGTCATCTTCACTTTTCTCATCATTTTCGACTTCAGTTTTCTTCGAACAGGTGTAACGCACTATCTGGTGCATCGAAACTTAAGTACTTACGCCAATAGTGTAACAATGTTACATGAATTAAAGACTCAGTGTATTTTGTCCATCCGCTTTAATTCCAGTAATTGGACAGTGACATTACGATACATAGAAGAGATTCGTGTATAGGCACATATGAAATTTCTGAAAAGGATTATGTTTTGATTGCACACTAGTAACTAATGTGACGTGTCTAGTCGTCCTCTGTTTGGTGCAGACTGAATTCTGTCAATCAGCTTTGCAATGTGGCCTTCATTCTAGGTAGCTCGCCATTACGGTGCACATTGACTTGATGATATTAGATAGTTGCAGGCAATCGGTAGGAAGCCTTGCTCGACCTAGGTTTCGCGCTAGTTGCCACTCACCAGTCGACAAGGCGTATCTGCAACCTTGAAGGAACTCATGTCCCTTCTGCGATTCAATCAATCTGAGTCAATCGCGTGCCCGAATAGCTCAGTGATAACGTCTCTGACTGCAGTACTGGGTGACGCTGGTTCGAAGCTCAGAAGGGACATTAGTTACTTCAAGTTTGCAGATACGCTTTGCTGACGAGTACTAACAAGCACGAAACATAAGTCCAGGGTTTCAGGCTGATTCCCTCCAACCATCTATAATCTCTGTTTAAAGTGCACCATAATGGCAAGTCACTTAGTATGGTAACCAAATTGAAAACTTGACTGACAGAATTCAGTCTACACTAAACAAAGGAAGGCAGGGATACTCAACCTATCCTAAGGAGAAATTAGTTTAGATTTGTATGAGTCAATCTTTTGTATGAGATATAACAAAGTTTTGATGTATATTCTATATAAGTAGTAACATTTATCTGAAATAAAATAAAGATATTTCCGAAATACAACAAAACTGTATCTCTATTACATGCCTTATGTTATGTAAACCACAAATGTTATTGGTTTAATTATTAACTCAGCTACGTTTTGTTGAATGATTTCAACAAAACAAGCTCATTTAAGCCTACTAATTTATGATGCAAGATTCATTATGCGCCAACTGAAAAAACGCGCTTATGAACACTATCCAGTCCGGCTAATAAAAGGAGACCGCAAAAGTACATATATATATATATATATATATATATATATATATATATAATTCAGTGACAGAACAGGACATTCAGTGCCTTTCGAAAAATCCTTCAAAGTAATATATAAGATTCGATCAAACCTATCAAAGGGAGTGAAATTAAGACATCTGGACATAGCCGAGGCACTAGCTATCCACTGGGACCCGGTGACTCAATGGTCTACGAGCTCGCCTTGTAACCAGAGGATCCTGGGTCCGAACCCCGGTGGGTGTGTACTGATGAAGAATCCCAAACTAGGACGAAACAGTTGTCCAGTACTCCCAGGTTTTCTAGTGGTTCTCTAACTGTTGTCAGCTCATGATGAAATCCTCCATGCGATCAAACAAAATCCCTACAAAACCAATACTTGAAAACAGGTAATTCTTTTAGTAATGACCATCCCATTGCCTTTCTTTACTAAACTTTCTGTTAACTAATGCTATTTTTAAGTTTTTCTTAATCCCTATTTACACTACCATATTTTCATATGCGAACTTCCTGTTTATTTTGTCATTTCATTATTTCTACACATTTAATCCTTGATTTCATAAACAATTATTCGTCACATTAGTTTTGATCCTACTAGATTTTTTATCCAAACATCCTGTCTATTGTTGTTATTTCTACATTTCTAACCCCCAATTGAACAATATGTCAATCTTCTCAGTAATTATAATGCTACTTTGTTTAGGTTTTATCCGTCCCCCTGTTTATTATGGCATTTTAATTCCTAATTGTAATTTTGTTAATTTGACCCTTAACCGGAAATTATTCTGGAAATTTCCCACCCATTTATTATAAATAGACAAATGTACAGCCTAGTTGATGGCTTCGTCGAAAAGAAAATTTTCTGCGCTGCAACTGTCTTCTTAATAACTCATCAAATTCTTTTTATTCCCTATGCACTTATTCTCTCTCCAATACATTTCTATTTGTTATAATTTCTTTGTATTCCCTTTTATTACTAAATTTATGCGATTCATGAGGTGTGACAACTTAAACTGCTGCACCTTTGTACAAAAGTTCTATGTTGGAAATTCAGTTAACGAGGATGAAAGAAAGTGGAAATTTCTAAGTCAAATCACACTGTTTAACATACGGAGGAAAGGAGATGTGGATTTCCTATATGGATTCCACTATCATAAAACAAACTGTTACACTAGATATGGCCTTATGAGTTTTTAGTTTTACGAAGAGTGAGGCGCAGGTAAATATATGAAAATATGTCCTTGAATTCAACAAACAACTCGCATAGAGTAGCTCTCAATTTCAGCTATAAGATCAATAGATATAAGGGAAACGAACGTCATAACAAAATAAATACAGAAACAAAGGATAGAAGAAAGAACGAATACCAGATAATCAAACGCAAAAGCATAAAATAAAACCCACAAACAATTTTTTTAACACTGTGAACAAGAAAACAACTACAAAGTGACTAAAAGAACTCTTTGGTGAGCGAGCAATAAACATGAATAACTTTGATTAAACTTAAAATATAAACAATAGTCATAACCAGTAATACGAAATTTTGTAAAACAACACATCAAAGACACTCATATACCATTGTCCCATTTATTCTGACAATCTAAACAATTAAGGGAAAAAATTAAGTGAATTAGTAAAAGAATTAGTGCGGCATGTGCTACTGATACGATTTATCAGTAGTATATAAAGAGACGTTCATCGGCATAAAAAATACCGAATAGCGGAGAGATAGATTCGATTTCACAGAGAGCGAATGATTAAGCGTTGCGAAAAAAACATGGGAGACACAAAAAGAAGACAAAGAAACACAATATGAAGGAAGGCAAGAAGTAGCACAACACGGGAGATGTGTGAAAATGACGATTTGCAGATAAGGTGTACATAATTTCGCAACATAGAGATATTGAATTCCAAATAAACATTCCTTTACCAAGTCTCTTGTTTTCTACCGTTATAGTAGTAACTGTTATAAACTAAATCTCCTTTATCATAAACAAAATGAAGTAAATCCGTAAATGGAAATCTACTATGCGATGACTCCCAAAGTTAACAAACCTGTAAAATTTAGAGTTTGAGATGAAATTATGGTGGGAACGTTTGTAGCTCAGTTAAGTTTCTGTGATGTTATTGTATTTTCTGAACTGGATGGTTTAATTTATTATTACTACTATTCAAACACAAACTTGGTAAATATGAGCACCAAGAGATACGCCACACAAAATCTCACAGTTTGTGAGGGAGCTGGGATACTGCCCGGGTGCATATACCAAAGTAGGTGGTTGCCCTGCCTTCAAGTTAAAGTCTGATCTACAAGACGGCGGAACAGCGAACTCAGAAACTACGCTCCCGTAGCTGCTGGCGAACATAAGCCACTCGACCCGTTCGGATTCTGGACCCCATGTACACCACAGGTTTGGAATCAGGGTCTTCCAGCCCCCCCCTAAGTAGACCTGTATGTCCACCACTACGGTTGTAAGTGCCAAACACTCGCATTCATTCTTTCACTACTGTGAGGGACACTCAGTCACGTGAAGGCAGTGATGAATAAGACTTACATGGCAAAGGAATTTTTGCATGTGATATCGATATCCCAAATTTAGCAGGCCAACCATTGATATCAGATGTGCGTCGGCCGGGGATTGAACCCCGGCTGATCATTAACTGTAGATCTTGATGCTCAGTTTGATCAAATTTTGAACACATCCTACTCAGAGTTACTCAACAACCAGATATGCCTGCAAATTGATGATACCGTCCGACTACTGTAAACATGGCATATAAAGCAAAGTTGAAACCCAGGAGTCGAAAGTCTAGGCTAAGGAGTTATATCACATATAAAATATATGTGACTAACAGTCTATCACACTGGACCACGTTGTATGTCAAAGTCAAATAAATGTTCTTATTCCTGCCACAACCATCTAAACTGACAATGGTTCGTTATGAAGGTTAATAGAAAAATATTGCCTGAACTGTAAAAACGCAGCAGAGTCATAAAAATGACATGAGTGAAAATTTTCTCTGTATAAATAGCAGCTAGAAATCGTCACAGGTCTACACACCATAAAAAATCGATCAGCCTTAATTAACCAATGAGGAAGTTACACGTTCACTTTGATATTTTGTATGTCTGTAACACTCTTATTAGAAAGTGAAAAATGAGCGATTTTTTTTTTGACATAACTGTACGATGTGCGAGGAAGTAAAATAAAACAAAAAATGAAACTGTGCCGAAAAACAATGGCAAAAATAATAATCTGTGTAACTAATTACCACGACGAAAATCCGATGAATACACCGACTATTTTTATGATCATTCAGTCACACCCATAAATGTACAAAAGACAAATGTGTCTAGGGGCATTAGAACGAACAACTGTAAAAGCTCAATCTAGGCAGGTTACTTGAAGAAAGCAGTAAAAAACGCCACTGGTAGTTTTACACAAGAAACTAATACTTTAGAACTATCAGTGCAGTTTGTTAAAACACGTCAACTTCTTTTCGATAACAAGGAATACAATAAGAGCAGTTGTCACTCATTTAACAGTAAAATAAATCCTAACGATAGCACAACTAAATCTAAAATAAGTATCTAATCTCACCAACGAATAAATTTTAATAATCCGATCAAAGAATGGGCAAAGATAAATGTGACTATGAATAAATAAATTAAAGATTCAGAGGTGTTCAGAATTTCAAACCACTGTTTACAGTTTTCAGAAATTTTACCAAGTTCGTCCCAATCATTGATTCTTAGCATGCTGAGGACTTAAGAAAAACAGTACACACCTTTCTACTCTCCTCATATTAACAGCTGATGAATTCATGGATTGGAGTAATGTCTTACCCCGACCTCCAACTCCTCCATAGATCAATCCGACGTCAATCATCATCGGATAAACATCATCGGTTGGAATTCAGATATGTGCCCAGTGTCGAAGTAAATGAAAGCTAGTTAATGACAGATGAGTCTCTGCATTCTAGACACTGGATCATTGGAAATCCATATATATATATATATATATATATATATATATATATATATATATGCGCATATACGATTAGACAGAGTAATGATAAAAGCCAATTGAAATACAGATAAATTTCACTACTTACTTGCACTGAGGAATCCTGGACCATAATTTGTGGAATCTTCACTGGAAAATAAAAGTTTAGATAGAAAGTTCTATTGAAGATAGATTGGAATTTACTTGAAACAATTTTCGTTATATATCATATACCAAATTCTGTTCGAAGCAGGTCCTTTGTAGCCTGTATAACGTTCCGGATTTTTAAGTAAATCCACATAGATCATTTTGCCGGAACTGTCATCTGTAAAATAAACAAAAAGTGAATGCTATGTTATTTTTCCAGATATGTATGTTTGCAACTGTCAATGGACATCTTGGAGACGTGCGCCTAGATATCCAGCTATGCAGGGTGATATGTAGTTCTGTAGTTCAACAGTTAAATTACTCTATCAATGAAATTAAATTTATTCAGTGAGTTCATTGGGACTATTAGCCCTAAAAGTATTGGTATCATCTATAAAATAATAAAATGGCATTATGAATGATTACTAATTTTTACAGCCATTCCCTGTTTAGATTGATTCCAAGTAAAATACATTCGTTTCAATGATGGAGGTTCACACACTACCTACTAACTAGTTAATAACACTAAGAATACAGAAACGTATTAATAAAAAGTCAGTTGTTCAATTAAAATTAGTTTAATCTTATGATATTTCTGATTCATGTACGCAAGACAGCTGATGGTTTTCGGTCAACAATATCACGTCCAATATGTCCACCTGGATACAAGAATGTCTTTGTTAAGCATGAAATAGATTTTAAGACTAAGAGCCAGTAGCAGATGAATAGATAAGAAGTGTAAGCAAATCTCACTACTAACCGATATATATACTAAAATAAACTGATAAACAAGAAGTATTTAACAGATATTTCGTCCAAACTGAGACACCTCCGTAGTTCGTTCATACAACCACTCAAGATATCGGATCTAAGAGTAACCAAAACAAAGCGAGTTAGTACGTACTTATCACTGAACCCAGCATCATAGCAGATTCGTTGTGGTTACACTCTCAGTTGATCTCCCTAGTTACCGCACGGGGGTGTAGACGTACGCGATTGATGACCATCAGCATAGAAATCCACTTCGAAAGCAATGCAATTTCCAAAATCCCAAAACTTAGATAAAAACTAAGTTCGTAACCATCTGATATATTGGAATTATCTCGAATATCGCCTTATTACTCGGGATCTAATCATTGACTAGACCAGCAATATACTGATGGCCATTTGATGGAAATCAATACTGGTTTTCCTGGTTTTTGACTTGGTGTAGTCATATAAACGTATTTTAAAGTAATGTAGTTAACATTCCCTTAGATGCAGAATGATACATTAGTATTTAATATGTTGAGGATAACGTAGTTATGTTAAACAACCTTTAATTGAATATGCTGTAAGGATCACTTGGAAGATTGTTGAATAAATAATTAAAAACTCAGCTATTTTTCAGATAGAAGAAAATATCATAAGTAATTTACCATCAGGTTCACAAAATGTAAGTTCATCTTCAGTGTCATGACGAGCCCAGTTGGCAATTATAGTTTTACGTTCTTCACTAATATTTGTTTGATTAAGAAAGGAGAAAATCAAGAAAACAATAAGAAACAATTAGTATTACATTAGTTATTTCATATTTAGCAAACTGATGATTAGATTCATCTACACTGACGTAACCAAGAATTATTCCTGTCATCTACTTCTGCTGAAATCCTCAAAGAAACAGTTATTAGCTTAATACAAATGCTCAACGTATGGACCTAGCTGTTGCGTAACTCCTTTTTTAGTAATCACATCTCAAAAACATAATAAGAAATTCAATACCATGAATTGTGTTGATAGCTCTACTCTTCATGTTTTAGCTAAATCCCAGTTAATCTACAAACAGACTAACACCTGTGAAAAATAATGATGATTGAAAAGATGCTTTGAAATAAGACTAATTTATTTTAGCGAGTAAACACAGATCTGTTGCTTCGATAAAAGATATTGTATAAAACATTTATTATAGTTTGTCTTGGGTAACTGTTCTGTTCGTATATGCGACCTAAGCCTAATAATTAAAGACTGATACACATTTCCACATTTGCCCCACTGAAAGTACGGTAGAAGTTTGAAAACCTTGTACCAAGAATTGAAAAATTAGAAATTTTAAATGCTTTATCATCAGTACTTTACACAGCCTCACTTCAATTGGGATCGTTAAATGAATGGTATGAGAGTTTTACGTAAGTGGAATTTACCAAATCACTTATTTCCTACGAGATAGTGCAACAGTCATTAATTAAAGAAAAGGTTTTTAAGCCAAGTAATGAGTCAATTTTATACTTGATGTTTTTTTAAATAGCATGAAGCTACATGCCGTAAAAATACAAACCTACAATTCACTAACAAACTTTCCCATAGAAACAAAATGCTACATGACTATGATACATTTAAACAACTTTTATATGTACTATCTTTCCTTATGAACACACAAACAGATTGATATTTCTGTACAAAATATTGTTTTTAAAGAAAGTAATTCACTTTAAAAATGATTTAGAAAAGAACATTTATGTTAACAATATGAATAAAAAACCAGTCGTACTAATATGGAAGTAGTTGGAACTCCATTAACTAAATTCCATACCTTAAAGAACTATCCAGCTGACCTAGCCCGCAATCGATTTCTCCTTCAGGATACATGTTAGCTTCTTGAGAATACTTTCAAATAAAAATTAAAAATAGTCTAACTTTATAATGGGGTGAAGACTTTAGAGAATCTTCACGCAAGCCCAGAGGAATTTCTTCAGCTGGACAGTCGTTGACACGACAGTCAGATGAGGGACACCGTTTATCATCTTCGAAAAATGGACATTTGCGTTTTAGATTAACCTGAAATATGATATAAATCGAAAAAAAAGTTACCACAATTAGTTGAGAGAAATAAAAGTGTGTGACTAGAATATGCCACCAATGAACATTGATCCCTGCTACATATATTATATACTATCTCGAACAACTTTGCATTCCACACTAGAATTAATTTTATATTCATGGTGATAAGTTTATTTTTGGTAAATAACCAGTTCAGAAGCAAAAAGAGAATGTAGATAATGCGTCGATATTGAACTTAAGAATGATAAAACACGTAGGATGCCAATAAACAATTTTGACTTTTTACTGCATAGAATTCCAAAATGATCGTCCGTCTAAATTCAACACACTAGTTTATAGACTTTTTAACTTCTAATTTTGACAACTGGAAAGTCTCTAATCTGAGGATAATGGTCGTTCTCGCCCCAACTAGACTGAATTCAAATGAAAATCAGATTGTCAAGACATGCCATCAAGGTAACGATGTGTAGACTTTGTAACTTATTTGTATTCATGGATTTCGGTAGATTACAAGTTTCAAAGTTGCATATACACAGTAGTACCAACTTGGGTGACACAGATGAAACACCAGATGAGAAACAGAAGGAATGTACCATATCTACAATGTATATTCAGTAAATTACGAGTGTTATGACAAACCACTGTTCACATGTTTCTATGATATATATTGATTGTCATTTACTGAAAAAAGATGACATTTGATGTAATACAGTATAAGTTTTAAAAAATCTGTTTATTATCTTTTTTGTTTGAGCTTAGTTATCTGGGACAAATTTTTCATGTACCAGGCTGAGAACCACACTTATCATGTGTGTGAAGGCTAGTGGTATTACGCAGTTGCTTAGGTTGAAGTAGGGTGGAATGGGACTCGAACCTAAGACACACCGATGGAGATCCAGAGCTTAGACCAATAGGCCAAACAAAATAGATGTAGCACAGACAGATGCAGTTTCACTTGTATTTGCATCGAAATAACGCGGAATCTCACAGAATAACACGTGATCCGGTGACACAGAAAGTCAAGACTTGTGTTGATGACAAATGAAATACTAGATAGTGCTAGATAGCTCATTGCCAAATAGATGTAAATACAACTGGTTGTAGGGCAATAAATAAATAAAAACCAGGTGTTTAGATATCCCGTCAACTTATATAACGTGCCACTTATCTAATAATGTAAACTACATGTGGGAAGTTCAATTCAACAAACAAAAGTATATGAAATGAGGAGTGGCAAAGAATATATCACTCTGAAAACTTCAAAAACGATATCACAGTATCGTACTTCTTTACTGGTTGCTTTCTTTAATATTACTTTATTTGCAACGAGCTCAAAGTTACTAAACAATAATGCTGTGTTGTAAATTGTTAACTGTATCTTTTGAATTCGCCCATAGCATCGAAAATTCACTTCGCTAGTTCAATCCCTGGTCAAGGCTGACACAGCTGACTAGAACAGGTTTGTCATTTACCAAGCTGAGGTACATTTATTAATATGGGGGTTGAAGATACTAGCCCGTTACTTAGGCTGAAGCAGACACACTGGGACTCGAACCCATAACTTGCTGACTGAATGACGTGCTACAGCAATGCCACACAACAACACTATATGAATAGTACTTTAGGATTCAGTTATTAAAAACGTCCTACACCAAACATTTGTAAAGCAAAGTAGGTTAAAGAACACCAGCAACCAATAAAAATATAATAAACACAAAAAGAGTTAAATCTATAACACGGTGACTGATAGAGGCATATAGAACTACGTAGAAAATTTGTCAGTTAGAGTTGTTAGATTTCGTAAAGGCATTCATGATGGTAAACAGGAATAAAATATTACAATACAAGAAACGTGGATGAGACAAATGCAAAAGACCGCAAGAAACGAATATGTATGCTTCTTCGTGAAACGCTTTGAGCCATGACACCAACCCCTGACTTTGAAGGCTCCGATAACCTTATGGAGCTTAGACCAATGAGCAAATGTTGGGCAAAGAGGGAAAATCAATCGACGAGGTTATAAAGTTACATAGACTAAGATGGCTAGGTCACGTGCTGCGCATGCCTAACCATCGCCTCCCTCGACGGGCATTGCTAGCTGATATAGGTTCAGGTTGGAAAAGAGCCAGTGGTGGCCAAACAAAAACATGGCCTCATCAATCCATGAAATCCTTGACAGTTAAACTGAGTCAGGTAGGGAGATGCAGACTCCCGGGTTGGGGCCCTCGAGACTCTAGGAATCAATGGCTGGAGACAATAGGTGACATGGCTCAAAATCGTTGTCAATGGCCAGCGCAGATGTATTCAGTCTCTGTAATCTTTCATATTCCTTTCTACCATTACCCATTCTGTTTCACTCTTATACTTGTCAAACTCTATTGATTCTCTTCACTCATCTTTTTGCATACTTCTGTGTGCTATTTGGAACGTGGCAACTCGAACTGGTGCACTTCGGTGCCAAGTTCTATGTTGAATCCAGTCAGACAGACAGACCAATGAGCAACTACTAAGTTTCTGTCAGGTGACCTGTTTGTTGAGAAAGGCGATGATCCAGCATACGTGGTACATATCTCGGCCACAAAAATCAATTAGTATTCATTCCTGGGCAGTTGATATAATTTTCCTACCTGACAGTACAGTCACTTCTATTTACCAAATTGCTCCACCTATTAAAACTAACTGAACGTACACACCTATACTCAATAACTGACTTTTATAGCTGCTTTAAGTCACATTAGTGAACAGTAAGTAGATTATGCGAGTGTGTCGGTGGTATAGAGGTTAGGACGCTCGCCGACCTGGCACATGGTCTGAGGTTCGATCCCCGGCCGACGCACTCCATAACCTAGCCAAGTCAGAAATAATGCTGATAAAGAGGAAAGGTTGGGCACGGGACTAGCAACCCCATCCTGTAAAAATAAACACTGCTACAGAAACTTCAAGCCACTAGCTTGAATTAAGCCTTATGTTCCACTGGGGAACGTGAAGGGAAAAAAAGGTTATGCGACAGTAATGGTTCATTACATCTACACAGAAGATATTTGTTATATGCTCAACGAATGAAGAAAGGGAGTGATTTCTATGTAAATACTACGCATACATACATATATATAGTATTTACCCAGTGATTCCAATTCGATTACTGGACACTTGAAGTAAGTTCTAGTCGTCGACCCATAGTATCTGATGAAAAGTAGGAATACCAAGATCACAAACTTAATGACTACCATTCTGTTTGAAAGATTAGGCAAGTTTAAATATATCCAAGAGTATCATTCTTCCTCAAAAAGCTAAGTGAAAGTCACTATATAGGTAAATGAAGTGATTCTGACGAATATAATAGGCAGCCGAATGTGACTATTTTTTGAACGAAAAGTGTGGGACAAATGTTTTAGGGGATTGGACGACTTAACACACCGTTCAATAATAGCACTTAAAAATATTAGAACAGGCAAAATATATTTAAGTTCTTTTTGATGTAATCTTACAAAATGTTTTGAAGTTAAGCAATTACGTGACCTTGCGTTTACTTGAGATAAGGATTACCAATACTTACCTCGAAATAGTGAAAGAAATCCTTCTGGATAATGTTTTTAATACGAGGTAGAATTTTAAGATTGTTGAAGTTTGTTATATTTTGAACTTCTGCATTAATATCACCTACCAATCCGGTCAACTACATACATAAGTCGTATGTCTTTTTAATTTACCTGAGTGAAGCAACTGCCAGATACCGCGTCTTCTTGTGCGAGAATGTTTGCACAAAGAGTCAGCAGAATCCAGAAATATTTAGCTCCGTACATCAAGTATAATCCGACTGACCAAAAATCTGAAGGGTAACCTTGAACTCAAAATTACGGCTGGATGCAATGAACAGTGTTCATTCACTAAAACACAAAGTGATTGTAATTTGTATGTATGCTATAGTCTAGGCCAGTAAATGACCACTTAATAAGACCACCTAAAAAGAATCTTAATTCACAGTGCTGAGTGACATCAGTCGCGAGAATAAGCCGAAATTCTAGAAAATTCGAGCGTTTCTCCACGATTTAAAGCCTTTGGATAAAAGTGCTTTCATACATTTTTGAACGAGTAACTGTTTTCCGAAGATATTTCAATGTGTATGATAAATGCTATCACGTCTTAAATTGACTTCGCTTGTACTTCAGTTAGATTGGTTAGCCGTTTTTCGGCAGTTATCAATAACTATGATCCCTTTGGGTCCCAATGCACTTCATGAATCGTGTTTATGCATGTGAGATTTTCCCCGTCGATGTTTCTCATTCAGGTTGTCCCATATTCTGTGTTTCTTAAGAATTAACTGTGACGGGATGTAGCAGTAATTTGCTTCGTTAACGAAGTCTTTTTTAGAAGTTCACTGGTTGTGCGATTCCAAACATTGCAGGTGCAGGAAAACGTTCCTACCGTGAGACGAAGTTGAGAATGCACTAAAATGCTTTCAAAAAGTAAGAACCTTATGAAGCATAAACAGTGTAGACCAACATGTGTATTCAAAACATTTAAATAGAACTTAAGCACAACAGCAGAGCATGATTATGTTATAAATTAAATGTATTGGAAAGTAGCTTGTCAGGCACGTCTCGTAAACCGTTAATGCCCAGCTCTTGCTACGCTCGGGCTCACACTGTCGCTTGAAGTTTCTCAGAAACGCTTAGTAATAACGGACGAAAAAACCAAAACACCAATTGTTGACTCGAGGATTCTTTATTGTTTCACCAACATATAAACAATGTTATAACTAAGGTCTGTGAACAAATATTACAATAATAAATCACAATATTACTTCTGACGGTTTTTTAATCTTCTTTCTGAACAGCGACCGATGAGACGATGACTGTCGTATTGATGCCTCCGCGAAAATTGGGGAAGTTGATTTTGAGCAAACAACCATGAATTGATCGTTCAATCTTCAACTACATTCACACTCCCCGGCAAAACAGGAATCCATACCTTTTTCCATCACGACCAATACACGTTGACTTGGATGCCATTGCGAGAACCTGGGTCACACGGACAGAGCTGAAATGGAAAACAAACAGAAAAGCCAACACACCACAAGCATACTCACAGCACAATCTCACACATCAATGACGACCTGCGCCTTCCAGTTAAAGGCATCCTCTTGCAACACAATCGCCACTTGCTAGAATGACTCTTGCAGAATGCAACGTGACCATGGCAGCACCTCACGATACTCTACGCACATCCTCTTATCTACTCATTACCAATTACCACTGAAATCGCTTGTCACTCATTCTGCCTCAGTTCTAGTAGCGGTGACGCATGCGAGCCTCAGTCGTTTACACTCTTTCTCCCCGGCGTGTCGGACCGCAGCTAACAATTATTTCCGTGTGCATTTCATTCTCAGCAATAGCCTAGCCTCCCGGCGTATACGACCCATCTGCTGTCCTTAACATCAATCAATTCATTCACGGATGTAGAAGACAAGAAACAACTTCAGAAGTAATCACGACGAAAATTTTAACAAAATTACGCAATAACAACAAGGTACGAAAACAACGAGTAAACACAATGAATCCAAAAAACACCAATTGATATGACACACCACACGTATATACAAACAGTACACACAAACTCGCAGTTCATATCTTGACGGAATTCCTTTGAAGAATTGCAGGACTTACACCAGTACGCCTACAACCCTTCTCAGGTTGACGATTGTAAGTTGTGGAATGTCCGGACACAAACAAGATTAACCAACAATTACAATAATTGGAACTCACACAATTATTTAACACAAACATGTGTACAATCAACACATCAAATGTTGTGGATTCTGGCACGAAAAACTACCCTTGAAGAACTGTAGGACTTACAGCAGTACGCCTACATTCCTTCTCAGGTTGACGCTCTAGGTTGGAAAATCGTGCAGAGTTCATTTGCTGACTTCCTTCTATCAGCTATATCCTCAAATCTGAACGGCAACACGCTCATGTCATTGTATCGTAGAATATAGATGACGAACAAACACACGACGTATCTGGTCAACCAAGCGTAGGAACAGAGTAATTTACACCAAAGATAATAACATTCAAATAGTAACTTGAAACTAGAAATGCCTTTATTCGTGCAAGTCAATTTAACAATTACTCTCTCGTTTACACTTGGCTTATCCTCACTAAACTGAGCAATATCTTTCGTCCTTTCAAACGAACCAATACTATCATAGTCATTGCACAAGATACTTGAGTTGATGGGCGACTGTTTCATTGTGGATGACAACACCAACGATGACCGATTGATACCAGTTGATGAAGTTAGCGGTGGATCAGAAGCTGTTGTTGCTCGACTTTCATAAAGTTGTCTACCTGCAAGACCACCACCACTGCTGTCTTTTACTATCAGCTCAGGTTTAGCACTAGCATCTGATGATAGGTGGGCTACATGCTGATCAATTACACTGACGGTCTCACAAGTATGCATGCCTTCTGCAACTGCATCTGCATTTATTTCTACTTCACGTTCAAGTTGTACAGAACTTTTGTTCAACTCAGCAGTAGTAGGCATATCTATCATCTCATCATTATCAACCAAAGACAACTGTGAAGTATCATGATCATTATCACGAATATTCACTTTACCGTCAAGTTCATCATTTTCAAACTCTTTAATAACAGAAGTAGACAATTTTGGTTCCTCCTCGCAAATCCTAAAAGGTTTTATAACTTCACTCTGACTAGTAATACCTTGTAAACTTGTAGGGTCAGAACTGGACTCTGAAGCAGCAACTCTATTCTGTGACACTCTATTCAACAATGGCTTACCAGTTGCAACTACAGACTTCTTCACCGCACCGTTATCGTCACACGATTCGGAGTCAGGCCTGGAGTTTACATTTAGCTTATCACTGAACTTGCTCACTGGTTCACAGTTCACCTTTGTATGCACCTCTTGCAAACGTGTAAAACACAACCGTGTTTGTCTTGCATCTTGTAACTTATCTGTTGAGGATGTACTACGAAACCTGTTACACTCACTAGGTCTATATGCATTACTAGACATCATGGAGCCTTCTCGATATCCACCTCTCTGAGGCCTATTCGTCATCAATGATTGCGTTTTACCCTCAGACTGCTCTATTCTAGGGGTGAGATTCAATATACTGGCAAACTTGCTCATCGATTGATTGACACTATCTTTTACTAGTTTCAGGATATCATCAAATTTTGGCTCGATACCCTCATCCTCCATACGGGAGCTTATCTTCACCCACTTCCTTTGCAGTCGAGTAGGTAGGCGTCTTGCTATTACTTCTAGTATAAAACTCGAGTTGAGGTCACTCATGCAATTCATAGAAATCAAGGTATTCTTATAAGTCATAAGATTATCCAAAAACTCAGTAAGTGCCTTGGAGTCATCTTGAAGTTGACCGCCATTACCTTTGACAGCTTCGTTTACGTTCCTTACAATCATTGAAGGTCTTCCAAACCTTTGACGTAATATGCTCATAGCCTCAGCGTATCCCTCATTAGGGGGAATGAGCCTACAGCACTGTATAGCTCTTGCAGCATCTCCAGTGCAATACCTCATCAAATACATCAATTTCAATTCATCACTTAATAGAAAACTACTCAGCATGATCTCAAACTCCTTTACAAATTGTAAATAATCAGCTGGGTTTCCATCAAAACATCGTGGTTCAAATTTAGGGAGTTTGATGTTCCTATTATCCCTGAACGGCGAAACAGTAACATCAACCATGTCATGCTTAACATCAGACACATCGTTACAATTAACAGACAAGTCACCATGACTTACTTTCCTGTTTGCATCCAAGACACTCTGTCCCTTCTTTGACCCAGGCATTGTTGAACTTGACCCAATTCCAAAAACGTTCCAGATATTGCTTGTTCAAAGAGGACTTGACCGGCACCAGGAAAGATGAACGGTAACTATCCAATCTGTTACCAACGGTCCAAACCCGTCGAAAACTGACTTCTCCGTCAGAAACTGTCAGCCACGTCTCGTAAACCGTTAATGCCCAGCTCTTGCTACGCTCGGGCTCACACTGTCGCTTGAAGTTTCTCAGAAACGCTTAGTAATAACGGACGAAAAAACCAAAACACCAATTGTTGACTCGAGGATTCTTTATTGTTACACCAACATATAAACAATGTTATAACTAAGGTCTGTGAACAAATATTACAATAATAAATCACAATATTACTTCTGACGGTTTTTTAATCTTCTTTCTGAACAGCGACCGATGAGACGATGACTGTCGTATTGATGCCTCCGCGAAAATTGGGGAAGTTGGTTTTGAGCAAACAACCATGAATTGATCGTTCAATCTTCAACTACATTGACATAGCTCAATACCATTATTTCATTTAAAGCGTGATATCAGCCTATATGATTGCGGGTCTTGATATGTAGTCTATGATGCTTGGATGGACAAATAATTGATTACGTGGAACTGTGGCACTCCCAGTGCAATGACACTTATTTTTAAGTGTTGGTTTATAGGGATTTGATTGGTTTCAGGATTTCGTCATTACCTGACATACCATTAAGCCACTGGGACCCGATCCAATGGTCCTTCAATTCTAACTTCTGCCAATTCACGACATCGCGCGACCGCTAGCCAATGTCTTCGGCGAGTATTTGTCCTCACACCCGACCAGCTACGCCCTACTGGTCACGACTTTGACACTTATTTTCAATTATGCCACCGATTACTTTCTCAGGTTTCATTTATAAGTCAAGCCATAATCTCGTCATGATAACAAATTTATTTCACTCGAAACAGAAAGAGAGAAGGTCAGTGAACAGGATGTGAGGTATATTAGACGAACAAAAGTAACTTGCCAATGTCTTTACGGAACTGTTTGTCGTAATTATTCCAGTGGTGCTGAATGGTTTTTAGTAGTTGGAATGACATTGTCGGGCTTCTGTGAATGAATTATTGAAGTGTAT